CTATAGAGTACAACCCATTAGGTTATATCCTAATGCTGAGAATGTTGACTACAAGGGGATATAACCTAATGGGTTGTACTCTATAGAAGCTAGGATTGTAGTCAACATTTTGGGTTATAACCCCTTGCAGTCAACATTTTCTATGCTGAGAATGTCATGATAGCTTGCATTTTGCGCAAGGTAGATTGTGGGGGCCTGAATACTCGACAATGAGACATTGATGTAAACGAAGAACACAACTACACGCTGAAATAAAGATTCCGCATGTGTACGAGATATGACGCGGGTAATTTATTTCCAGGTTTCCTTAGAAGACCCACCCCCAAAATTCACTGGTACGATATATGATATACGACCCTAGACTAGAGTCGTACATCCGGGCGTTTACGGTACTATCTGTTAGAATGCAAGAATGAAACTAGAAGGAGAGAGTACAGGGGAATATAGGCTAGTGTGTTGTACCCTCTACGACACAAACCTATATAGTCTAAAATAACATACTAAGTTATGTTTGACACACGCCCAAGACTATATAGGGGCAGTGCCTAACAGGAGAACAAGCAGCTCAGGGCGGCACTACTAGTCCAGCCTTTGAGACAAGGGTCTGAAGACAAGTCAAAAGGAGTACAGACTAAGACAAGAGCAAGGCCAGGGTGGCACTACTAGTCCAGCCACTGGGAGAGGCCACAAGGCCAGTCAGGGTAATATATATAAAGGTATGTACACAATCAAGGCCCTAGTAAGTGAGAGGCTACAGGAATAAGACCCAGCTCTACACACTGCCGCTGATGATCTTTAGGTGCAAGTGCCTTGGTAAAGATATCAGCTGTGTTGGCACCAGAGGCCAAGTGTACTACGCAGGCCTAGCGACGCAGCTGTAGCTCGCGCAGTAGGAAGTACCGCAACTGGATGTGCTTCGCTCTGCCCTCAAGTCGAGGCTCCTGACACTGGAGGATCATGGCCCTGTTGTCAGCGTACAGAATCGGGGCAGATCTAGGCCGCTCACCTAAGTCGTCAAGCAAGAAGGTCAGCCAGCGGAGCTCCTGTGCCGCCATGGCACCCGCGTAGATCTCAGCCTCGCAGCTGGACTGGGTAACAGACGAGGAGCAGGTAGCTCTCCATGACACAGCATCTGAACCAAGGCTAAAGCAGTAGCCTTGAGAGGACCTGAGAGTCTCAGCATCGTCTGCCCAAGAAGCGGATGTGTGTCTAGTAAGGACCACTGGCATGTGTCCTCCCAGCGCTAGCCCCATGCCCGATGTACTTGCAAGATAACGCAAAACCCTCTTAGGGGCAGACCAGTGCTGTGGTCGGTGTTTGCCTGTGGCCACAAAGCGAGCCAGGATGCTGAGAGGGTATGCGAGATCTGGGCGAGTGCAAGTCATCCGGTACATGAGGCAACCCACCAGCTCTGCGTAAGGACCACTGGGCTCTACTGACTCCTCGGGAACACGAGCTGAGAGCCTGTGGTCTAGTGGCAAAGGTGTGGGCTGTGCAGAGGAGAACTGAAGACCGAACCTCTGAAGGACCTGGCACACCAAGTGTGATTGTGAGAGAGTGATGGTGCGCGCAGCTCTGTCCCTGGAGATCTGCAGCCCAAAGTAGTGGCGCAGTTCTCCTAGGTCAGTGCAGGAGTGTCTCTTCAGCAGCTCGGCCTTCATGAAGGCCAGTGCGTCCCTGTCTGCAGTAGCAAACACCAGGTCGTCTACTTAAACAAGGATGTAGAACGGGGTCTGGCCAGCACGAACGAAGAGTGAGGGGTCGGCAGAGGACGGGAAGAACTGTAGGTCAGCTAAGGTAGCACGCAGCTTGTCGTGCCACTCACGAGGCGCCTGTCACAGGCCGTAGACTGGGCGTCGGAGAAGCCACTGGGTCCCAGGAGGGAAGGTACCAGTAAAGCCTTGCGGGCGGCACAGGTAGACCTGCTTGTGTAGGCTGCCCTGAAGGAAAGCTGTGGAGAAGTTGAGGGAGTGTAACTCGTAGTCGCGCTGTGCTGCTACGTGTAGCAGAGCCCAAAGAGTAGTCATCTTTGGGGTCGGCGTAAAGGCTTGAAAGAAGTCCACCCCCTCACGCTAACTAAAGCCTCTAGCCATGTAGCACACCTTGAACACAGGCGGCTCTCCAGGGGAGCTCTTCACCTTGAAGAGCCAGCGACCATCGACTACGTTCACCCCAGGTGGGGGAACTGCATCGAAGTAGGTGCCAGTGGATCTCCAAGATGCCAACTCCTGCTCCATGGCAGCTATCCACTAAGAGGCCCAGGGTCCCGAGGTGGCCTCAGCGTAGGTGCGAGGGGTCAGGATGTCGAAGACGTCTGGGTCACCCTCAGGGACTAGCAGTATGGAGCAGAGATGGGGAGCAGCCTCGGACAGGAAAGCAAGCTCGTACTGCCGATCCTCCAAGACGTCACTGCCAAGGGCAGGATCACCCCCAACGGACGGAGGACAGGCAGGGTCAGAGACAAGAGCAGTGGCGTAGTCAAGGCGGCGGGTAGAGGCAAAGTCAGCCACAGCAGCGACAAGAGCGTCAAGACGGACCCGAACTGGGGACGAGTCCAGAAGAGGGAACACAGGGCCGTATGCATGAAGAGGAGGAGACGGTAGGAGAGGGACAGACACGCGGTCAGGGGAGGGAAGGCTGAGCAAGCGGAGGGTGGAGCATCACCGAGCAGCAGTCTCAGTAGCAGCAGCAGGTTCCACCGCTCGACTAGCAGCCGTTGCAGCAGCACCAGCCGCAGCAGCCACTGCAGCAGCAGCAGCCGCAGCGGCGGGTTGGTCGCCTCCCGCCCGGGTGGCCCGGCACTGGTGGCGGTGGCGGTCGCGGTGGTCGTGCACGTGGCGTGACATCGGGTGGTGGGTCGGGCAACGGGCGCTGCCAGTGCCAGCTCCATACCGGTCCTCGCCGTGGCCTCGTGTGCGGTAAGTTCGGTCACACCCCCTCCTGCTGTTTTAGTCGCCTGGATGACCTGTTTCGTCTTCGCTTCGCCCCGTCGCCCAACCTCCCTGACTGGCTCAGTTTGCTCCGTCGTGGTGTTCAGATCTTTGATATGGACATGGATGAGATTAGTTCTGCATTGTATGTACTGTATGTCGATGACTCTAGTCTAATTGGTTCCACTTACCCCGTGCTGCCTCGCGTAGGTGTGCCTAGCTCAGACCCCCCTGCTGCGTCAGGCGTAGGATCAATTGCTTTGTTTAGCCTAGGCTCCTCTCCCGCGTCTTCGACCGCTGCCGCCACTGCTATGCTCTCCTTCACCCTTTACTCCGGTGCTTCCCGATGCCTCTTCCGGGACTCCACTACTCTCACGCCGCTTGTCGCTCCCGCCACAGTTTCCCTGGCTGACCCTTCCTCAGGCCCTATCGTAGCTCGTAGCTCCACTACCCTTCCCTGTCCAGTGGCTCCTTTGGGCTCCCTTACAGGCCTGCACATCCCCTCGTTCTCTAGGAACCTAGTTGGCGGCTGCCTTCAGGACCTTGGCATCACCACTATGTTCCCTGGTCACGAGCAGTACGCGGTCTGTACCAAGGACACCACTGGTGCTCCCCTCACCACATTCCCCCGGGACCCGGTGTCCGGCTTGTTCACGCTGGACACCGCGCCCCCCCCAGAAGGGACGTCTCCCCAGGTGACTGTGTCTCCTCAGGTAGCTGCGGCTTGCTCGTGCCGGTCGCTTACTCACCCGACACTCCTGTGGCACCACCGTCTAGGTCACCCTGCCCTCCCTCGTCTTCGTCATATGTCTCAGCACGGTCTTGTTTTAGGTCTCCCTGGGTCGTTCCCCGTGCTCCCCTCCTCACCTGCGCCGCCATGCACCCCTTGCGTCGAGGGCCGGCTCCGCTGTGCCCCTCACTCCTCCTCGTTCCCCCCCACCACCGCACCCTTGCAGACCTTGCACATGGACGTTTGGGGCCCTGCCCCCGCCCATGGGCCGCGTCCTGAGTGTTACTTCCTCGTCCATGTTGACGACTACACTCGTTACACTACCATGTTTCCCTTGGAGTGGAAGGCCGACGTGCCTGACGTTCTTATCCCGTGGCTTGTCTCTGCGCGTGTGCACTGCGGTCTCCTTGTGTTGCGTCTCCACTCTGACCGCGGTAGCGAGTTTGCCTCTTGTTGCCTTGGGCGTTTCTGTCGTGCAGAGGGCATCACCCAGACGTTCACCTTGCCGGACTCCCCGCAACAGAATGGGGTCGCTGAGCGACGCATCGGTTTGGTCATTGAGGTGGCTGGTACCCCCGCGCTCGCGGGTCTCTATGGCAGACAGGGTGTCCACAAATTCAGTGAGGGTGAGTTCTGCGGGGTGAGTACTAAGATAATGATCGCGGGCAGTAGCAAGGCGGTCAGGGAGGCGGGTGGCAAGCAGGTAGAGGGTAGCGCAGAGGGGGGGCTGGAACACGCGAAGCTGGGCCTCAGTGTAGGCCGAGCACCAGGTCGAGTCTAGCGTGCACAAGTGGGCGGCTAGGTCAGCGACAGTGTGGAAGGACGCGAGATCAGGAAAGAGTAGAGGCAGGATCAGGCGACTGACAGAGGCAGAAGACGGGGTGGAATAGCGCGCAATAACAGCATCTAGAAACAGCATCTGGAATAGCGCGCAATAACGAACGGGCGTGGGGGCCGCTAAGGGACGGGCGCGGGGGCCGCTAGGGGACGGGCGCGGGGGCCGCTAGGGGATGGGCACGGGGGCCGTTATGGACGGGCGCGGGGGCCACTACGGGATGGGCGCGGGGGCCGCTACAGTACGGGTGCAAGGGCCGGCTACGGGGCGGGCGGCTAGGACCTAGGGCGGAAGCGCTTGTGGGAGAGCGGGACCTAACCTACTCATGATACCATGTTAGAATGCAAGAATGAAACTAGAAGGAGAGAGTACAGGGGAATATAGGCTAGTGTGTTGTACCCTCTAAGGCACAAACCTATATAGTCTACAATAACATACTAAGTTATGTTTGACATTGTCAGTTGGTTTTTTACGTTGTGAGATCTGTAGTTTAATCATTGTTGTTTTGCGTGCTCTCAAATGCTTATAATTGAATCATACACATGAACATTGATTTCCAGAGTAGCAACTACAGCTACACCCGGTGTCTCGGCTTTGATAGAAACATTCCCATCGGTTGAGGATCAGAGGTGGGGGGGAGGGGGGAAGCGGTGGTGATGGAGGTGGGGGAAGTGGAGGAGAAGGGGGTGGTTGGGGAGGGGAAGGCGGAGGGAGAGGAGGTGGGGAGGGTGGTGGTTGGGGAGGGGAGGGGGGAGGGAGAGGAGGTGGGGAGGATGGTGGTGAGTGGGGAGAAGGGGGAGGACGAAAAGGAGGGGGAGAGGGTGGTGGTTCGGAAGAGGAGGGAGGAGGGAGAGGAGGTGGGGAGGGTGGTGGGTCGGAGGGGGGAGGAGAGAGAGGAGATGGGGAGGGTGGTGGATCGGAGGGGGGAGGAGAGAGAGATGGGGAGGGTGGTGGATCGGAGGGGGGAGGAGAGAGAGATGGGGAGGGTGGTGGATCGGAAGAGAAGGGTGGGGATGATGGTGGAGGGTGGGAGGATAGGGGAAGTGAGGCAGAAAGAGGAGGTGATGGGGGGGGGAAGGGGGAGAAAGTGGGGGAGGGAGAGGTGGAGGGGAAGGTGGAGGAGGGGAAGCGGGAGGAGGGGAAGGGGGAGGAGGGGAAGGGGGGAGTGAGGAGAAGGAATCCGAGGGAGGAGGAAAAGGGGGGTAGGTTGTGGGGGAGAGAGGGGATGGTGGGGGAGGCGAGCAAGGAGGAGGATAAAGAGGGAGAGCGGGAGGACAAGGAGGGGGAGAGGGAGGAGAAGGAGGGGGGGAGGGAGGAGAAAGAGGAGGAGTGGGTGGAGATGGAGGGGGTGGAGAGGGAGGAGGGGAAGGCAGGGCAAGTGGAGGAGGAGATGGAGGGGATGGGGAGGGGGGTGGTGATGGGGGAGGGAGGGGTGGGGATGGGGGAGGAGAGGGCGGTGCAGGAGGTGTTGGAGGGAGGGGGTTCGGTGGAGGGGGGGAGGGAGGGGAAGGTGGCTGGGGGGGTGGCGATGGGCTCACTGTGGGCGATGGGCTCACTGTGTGCGATGTGGGAAGCACACAATGCAAGGAGCAGAAGGGGAGGGGAGAGGGGGAGGGGGTGACAAGGAGGAAAAGAGTGAGGAAAAAGAGAGTACTAGTGCAAGGCAATTCTTATGCGAGGGGCGATATGGGGCAATGTGGATGCCTAGCACTGTGGGATAAAAAATGGCTTAGGGTGGAAGAACATAGCGACATGGCTGTTGAAGTGAACGCAAGTCGGAAGAGACAGCAAATGCCACCCCATTACCTTTTGCAGCACGTGCCACCCCATTACCTTTCTCAATGCATGACATGCGATCAGCCGAAACAAAGTATCTCGAGGAGGAGCAACTGCATCCGAACTCCACCGACACCTGCTGCTGCTGCTTCTGCCCTCCTGCCCCCGCCCGCCCTCCTTGCACTGGTTTCTTCCCAGAGTATGTGACTGAAGCCAGGCAGGTGCCCACGCCAAAGCCACACTGGGCGTTGCTCAGCGCCCCCCCTGTTTGGCTGAAACTCGTTCCACAGAAGCTCTGGCACTGGGCTGCCGTTCGCTGCGGTTGAATCACACTCTGTACTGTCACAGCTGGAGGGGGGGAGGGAGGAGGAGGAGGTGGTGGTGATGATGGTGGTGCTCGTGGTCGTCGTGGTGGTGGTGGCTGTTTTTGTGGTTTCTTCTTGCGAATTCGACCTGCTGCTATCACTGCCAAGCGCCGTGCATGCTCCAGCGGCTCTGCAGTCGGCTCATAAGTCCCATCACCCTTCCACCTCCCTGCCTCTGCAGTCAACTCATAAGTCCCATCACCCTTCCCTGCCTCCTCTTCCTCTGCTCCCCCCTCTTCCTTCGCTGCTTCTGCTTCGTCTGAGCCCTCACCCGCACTCATCCCCCAAACGCTTCTCCCTCCTCTTCGCTTTCTCCCAACCCACTCTTCTCTGCGTCTTCTGCTGTTGCCTATGCGGTTGCCCTTATGCAACGGGCCCAGCAAGTCGCCTCCCATGCTGTGGTTGATCCACGTGCCACCGCCCGTCTTCCTCACTCCCCCTCCTGCAATCCCTCTTCGACCCATCCTCTCAAGACCCATCCGGGCATGTTGTATTCGCCGCCCCCCGTGCCTCATCACTCCCATCCGATCCATCCCCTCTTCAAGTCCATATAGTGCCTCTTTAAAAGGTGCCTCTTTAAAAGGGGCCTCTTGAAAAGGAGCATCTTTAAAAGGCGCCTCTTTAAAAGGTGCCTTTTTAAAAGGCGCCTCTTTAATTGGTGCCTCGTATTGGTCTTCCCCGTTTCCCCCATGCATCAGCATGGCCATCCGCTCTTTATGTCCTAACAGCGCCCTTGTATCCTCCTCCTCAGCGTGGGATGCCAGGTGGGCACGGACGTGGGGGGGGGAAGAGGACTCCTGCGCCGCCTCAGGCGGCGTTACTTGCTGCTCTCCCTGCTGCCGCTCGCGCCCTAGCATCGCCACCCTCTCTGTGTGCCCCGAAAAAGCTGCCCTGTCTCCAGCTTCGTGGGATGCTAGGGGGGCAAGGACGTGGGAGGGGGGGGACTCGGCCGCCCCAGGCGTTACTTGCTGCTCTCCCTGCTGCCGCTGACGCCCTAGCATCGCCACCCTCTCTGTGTGCCCAGAAAAAGCTGCCCTGTCTCCAGCTTCGTGGGATACTAGGGGGGCAAGGACGTGGGAGGGGGGGGACTCCTGAACCGCCTCAGCAGTTACTTGCTGCTTTCGCTGCTGTCACTCACGCCCTAGCATCGCCACCCTCTCTGTGTGTCCCAAAAAGGTTTCCCTCTCTCCAGCCTCGAGGGATGCCAGGTGGGCATGGACGTAGGGGGGGGAGGAGGACTCCTGAACCGCCTCAACCGTTACTCGCTGCCCTCCCAGCTGTTGCTTGCGCCCTAACATCGCCACCCTTTCTGTGTGTCGCAGAAAGGCCTCCCTTTCGGTGTGTCCCAAAAAGGTATCCGTTTCTCAAGCCTCATGCAATGCCAGATGGGTGCACGAGAGAGGCTCGGTGCCTTCGAGAGAGACGTGCGCCTCAGATGCTGCTTGCTCTCCTTTCTGCTTCCCTCTGTTACCCAGCATAGCCACCCTCTCTGTGAGACCCACAAAGGGCGCCCTCTCCTTGTCCTCATGCGATGCCAGATGGGCGCGCGAGAGAGACTCGGTGCCTTCGAGAGAGACGCCCGCCTCAGAATTTGATTGCTCTCGATCCCACTTCACCCTGTCTCCCAGCATAGCCGCCCTCTCTGTGTGCCCCAAAAAGGCCTTCCTCTCCTTGTCCTCATGCGATGCCAGATGGGCGTGCGAGCGAGGCTCGGTGCCTTCGAAAACGACGTGCGCCTCAGAAGTTGCTTGCTCTCCTTTCCTCTCCACCATGTCTCCCAGCATGGCCATCCACTCTGAGTGCCCGAAAGAGGCCTCTCTCTCTATGTGCCCCACAAACGCCTCCCTCTCTGTGTGCCCCAGAAAGGCCGCCCTCTCTTTGCCTTCGTGGGATGCCAGATGGGTGAGGACATGGGGAGAGGAAACTGCAAGATCACCAGCGGTGGTGCCATCAGGTTCAGCAGCAGCAATACTGGCCTTGCTGCTGCTGCTGCTGCCGCTGCTCACACCGATGCTTCTAGTCGCAACAGCCCCATCACCACTCCCGCTACTAGTGTCACTGGCAGCGCTCCATATCGCGCCACTGTCACCACCGCTGCTCATACCCACGCTTCTAGTCGCAACAGCCCCATCACCACTCCCACTACCACCGCTACTACCACCACCGTCACATGCCGAGGGGTCAAAGGTGAGGCAGTTATCGGCTGTGTTGACGGTGAGAAAGAGCAAGGGGCAGATTGGGGCACCGGAGGAGTCGAGGGGTACGCCCGAGCCAAAGAAGAAGTTGGAGGAGAGGTCGAGCGAGAGGAGAGAAGAGGCGGAGGGGAGGGAGGGGATGAGACCAGTGAAGTAGTTGCGAGACAGGTTGCTGGGGGGGGGGAAGAAGGGGAGGGGGAGGGGGAAGGGGGGGGTGTGTGGGAGGATGGTAGGGTGGAAGAGAAAGCAAGACTTTTGAGTCGACTGCAAAGAAACGTTGTGGTTTTTAGAATTTCCAGAAAACATCTGAAATGATTCAATAGGTGATGCATAGCAGCTGCTTAGGGGCAAAGAGCGCAGTGGGCAAAGAGCGCAGTGGGCAAAGAGCGCAGTGGGCTCGGAAAGCAGCACTCTTTGCAGTGGTCTTGTACGGGATTGGCAGGACCGGAGAGAGATTGTCTTTGGGTCTCACAGGTCAACAAGAGAGGAGAGGTGGTCGATGATCGTGGCAGGAGTGCCAGTCAAGGCATTCGCAGTGGAAGTGGAAACAGCTTGCATAGGCTATCTCTCAGGCGCCTCGAGGACGAGGAGCAATGGGGGAGAGAAGAGGTCTCACAGGTCTACAAGCGAGGAGAGGCGGTTGATGATCGTGGCAGGAGCGCCACTGAAGGCATCCGCAGGCACGTCACTGCCACAGATGCACGGGGGGGTGGAGGGACGGAAGAATGGAGGGCGGACAAGTGGGACAGCGGAGGGAGGGGGAGAGGGAGGGAGGGAGGAATGGATGGGGAGAGGGAGGGAGGGAGGAATGGATGGGGAGAGGGAGGGAGGGAGGAAAAAATATGGAGACAGTACTGACCGCACAGTGCTCGACCGTAGGTATTTGGAAGACAAACGTAGACGCACAATGGAGGCACACCTAGATGCACGATGGAGTCAAGGTCAGGCCTAGACGCACATTAGAGTTACTCCCTTCCACCAATAACTGCAAGGGTGCATCTGACTCTCAAACCTCACGCCCCTTTAGGGCATATATTCTGAAGGGGTCAAAGACCGAGCACCAAAGACAAGGCGAGAGCAGTACAGCACGAAAGGGAGGACTCACAGCGTGTAGAGCTGGGAGCAGGATGAGAGGGACTGGGGCAAGGGGCCCTGCAGCTGGTTCTGGGACAAGCGACTGGGGGGACGCAAGGGGAGAGGGAAGAGAGGCGAGGCGGGAGATGTTAAACCGAGGTGACATTTTTTAGTTGAGGTGACTCAAAAGGTACTGACTGGGGGCAAGGGACCTTGCAACTAGTTCTGGGACAAGCAACTGGGAGGGAAAAGGGTTTAGGGGGACAGAGAAAGGCGTTTCAGGGTGGATGATGAAAGATGATGATGTGTGACCCTGATGTCACGCTCACATGATGCTGACATCACACTCACATGATGCTGAGGTCCGGCATGGCGCTGGTGAAGATGGGAGGGAGCGATCCTGACAGCTGATTGGCCGAGAGGTCTCTGTGGGAGAGAGATTAATGTGGATGTGCAGATATGGGCAGAGCGGGGAGGTGAGTAAAGGAATTAGAGAATATTCCCCCAGTTGAAAGAAGAGGGGTATCGCAGTCGCTGACTTTTGAGTCGACTCAAAAGTCACCTCACAGGACGAGAGTCTAGCTTTGAGGCGCCTCAAAACTAGTCACTTCTTATGTGGGTGTGCGGGCGGGTGTGAGTGAACCGGGAGGGAGGTGAGTAAAGGAATTTGATAATATTCTCCCTGTCGCTGGACACGGGCTGGGAAGCATGTCGTATGGAGAGGGATATGGCAGGCAAACAAATGGAGATTGATGGAGGACAAGTGAGGTGCATATGGATGGGATGGAGACATGAGTTAAGCTGACGGTTTCGGGTCTAGTGAGATGCATATGGATGGAGACACGTGCTTCACATGCTTGTCTTGTCTCTCTATGCCACGTGCTTCACATGCTTTTCTCTCTATGCCACGTGCTTCACATGTTTGTCTTGTCTTCCTATGCCACGTGCTTCACATGCTTGTCTCTCTATGACACGTGCTTCACATGCTTGTCTCTCTATGCCACGTGCTTCACATGCTTGTCTCTCTATGACACGTGCTTCACATGCTTGTCTTGTCTCCCTATGCCACGTGCTTCACATGCTTGTCTCTCTATGCCACGTGCTTCACATGTTTGTCTTGTCTCCCTATGCCACGTGCTTCACATGCTTGTCTCTCTATGCCACGTGCTTCACATGTTTGTCTTGTCTCCCTATGCTACGTGCTTCACATGCTTGTCTCTCTATGCCACGTGCTTCACATGCTTGTCTCTCTATGCCACGTGCTTCACATGCTTGTCTCTCTATGACACGTGCTTCACATGCTTGTCTCACATCTCATAGAGAGACAGCAGGTTGGACAGGTCAGATGGTATGGATCCTTCCAGGAAGTTGCCATTGAGTAGCCTGCAGGAAAAAATGAGGGGAATGAGGAGAAGGAAGTGGGGCAGCGATTTGAGGAGAAACCCAAACCCCGGCACTGCACTGCTAGTACTTAAACGAAGCGATACTACTCTCTAAGTAAACCAAGGATTGTGACAGGAGGCTGGAACGAGAGGAGACGAGGCTGGGACGAGACGAGACTGGTCACTGGAGGAAAGAGAGACACCATAACACAAAAGGCCTGTAAGGGAAGGGGCAAACGCTTGTGAACAGCAGCATAAGAGAAAACGCATGTATAATCTCTTGTAGGTCACTAAGAGATGTGCTTACAACGAGGTGAGCTCTTGAAGAGTGGAGAGGGCTGAGGGAATGGAGCCCATGAGGGCGCTGCAAGAGAGCGCTCTGGGGAGGTGAGAGGGCGGAGAGAGCGGAGAGAAGGCGGTGAGAGGATGGTGAGAAAGTGCTCTGGAGGGGTGAGAGGGGGGGGAGAGTGGAGAGAAGGCGGGAGGGGTGTGGAGAAGGACAGAGGGAGAGAAGAAAGTGCAGGGTAAGAGAAGCAGCATCAACATTAAGGGCCGATGGGGAAAACACGATTGGTTGATCCATATCAGAACGTGCAAGCATGAAGGGGCTATTAAGACGATCCGTGAGGCGCCTGTGCTTTTTAGCATTCTCCCTTAGAGTGGTGTCCTTGAGAATTCTAAAAAGCACAGCCGCCCTGAGGGGCAGAGGGAGGGAGACAAGGGGGGTGTGGGGGGGTCCATAGAGAGCCGTGAGGCGAGAGGTGCGTACAAGTGCTGCAGTCGTGTGAGTGCAGAGGGGGACGCAGGGAGGTGTTGTGTGACGTTGTTACGAGGTGGCTTCTGAGTCGGCTCAAAAGCCATAGAGAGCCGTGAGGCGAGAGGCGTGTACAAGTGTTGCAGTCGTGCAAGAGCAGAGAGGCTAGTTTTGAGGCGCCTCAAAACGAGAATCTTATCACGCGGGTCACGTACAAGTGTTGCAGTCATGCGAGCGCAGAGATGGACGCAGGGAGGGATGATGAAAAGCGGTTATTGCACGTCGAACTGAGCGGCGGAACGGGGTTTGAGGACAAGGGGCGTGTGGGGGAGGCGGGGGTGGGGGAAGAAGAAGGGGGTGTGGGGGAGGGCGAGAAGAGGGGGGTTTGGAGGGAGGAAAGGAGGGATGGGATTTAGGCATGTCAAAATCGGACTGGGAGCAAGAGGTTCCCGAAGGCCGTCAGCTTATATGTGTGTCACATACGTATATGAATCTTTATCTACTCATGCCATAGCGATATACTGAAAGTGGATGAGAGGAAGTTACAAGTGGGTTAAAGAGAAAAGGTTGCCCAGGGTTGATGGAAGTGAGCCGGAGAGTGCGTTGTCGTCCAGAGCCCTGTGACACGGGAGTGCAATAAGAGGGAGATGAGAGGGAATTGAGAGGGCGATGAGAGGGAAATGAGAGGGCGATGATAGGGCGATGAGAGGGTGATGAGAGGGCAGCGGTATGCAGACAGTTCACACTCTCTCATTTCAAGATGTACACCATAAGCTGTATCGCCTGCAGATACGCCGTAAGTTGTATCTCCTGCAGATACGCGGTAAGCTGTGGAGAAACAAATAAAGGAAGCGAAACTCTAGAGAGAGCTCAAGCATGCACGGGGGAGTGCAAGCAAGCGGCCCTCACTCTTCCACTCCCTAAACCCAAAACCCTGAATTCTGCACCGCACTTCTCTGCATTGCAATTCACAGCGCTCACAGGTGCTTCAGGGTTGGAAGCGGGAGGTTGGACGGGATGGGCCCTGTGAGGGCATTGCGCTGGAGATAGCTGGCGGTCGGGGGAGAGGGGAGATTGTTTGTGAGAGCATTAATAAATACACTGACGGAAAGAATTGTCCACATGTTTTGCAATTTTCCGAATTTCCACAGTTAAAGGGCATTTGTACATTAAGCCTTAATTGGAGGCATTACCCACTATATGCAGGCCAATCTAGGGACACAAAAAAATGCTTCACATTTGATGAAACTACTATCGTTAACAGTAAGAAGTATTCATAACCAATCACGGTGCATGTGGACAATTAGTTCCAAGCGGAAGCAGCAACTCGAACAACCCTTAAACTAGTACCTGGTCCACCGCCCTTTAGCCCTAATTACTGCTTTCACCCTCCTGGGCATGCTGTCGATCAAATTGGAGCACACCCCTGATGGGATCTTCTCCCACTCCTCTTGTACACGCTCCCACAGGTCCACCATTCCAGTGGGAGGTGTCTCATGCTTACCCAGCTCCCTTTTAAGATGAGCCCAAAGATGCTCAATGGGGTTCAGATCAGGACTTCCTGCCGGCCACTCCAGGACCCCATACTCCTGCTCCTGAAGCCAATGCTGCACCACACGGGACTTATGCTTGGGGTCGTTATCATGCTGGAAGATCACATCCGAGGGGGTTAGCTTGTAAAAGTCGATGGTATTCTTCAGCTCGTCTTGCAAAATGCTCAGATACAGCGGCCCGTCCATCCGACCATCGATTTTGCACATGAAACCCACCCCCTCGAACGTCACTCATCCCCAGATCATCAAGCCGCCGCCCCCGTGTTTGACGGTTTGCTTGATCTGGTGGTGTTGGAGAGTCGTACCTTCACGAACCCAGGCGTACACGCGGCCGTCAGAGCAGAACCTACTAATCCTCGTCTCATCCGACCATATCACCCGTCGCCAATCATCTATGGTCCAATCCGCGTGGGCCCGTGCGAACGCCAGCCTATCGCGGATATTTGAGCATTCTAGAATGCACACTCCATGCACGAAAGAGTGGTCACTGACAAGTGGTGGGTGCCGGCAGGTGGTGGGTGCTGGCAGGTGGTGGGTGCTGGCAGGTGGTGGGTGCTGGCAGGTGGTGGGTGCTGGCAGGTGGTGGGTGCTGGCAGGTGGTGGGTGCTGGCAGGTGGTGGGTGCTGGCAGGTGGTGGGTGCTGGCAGGTGGTGGGTGCTGGCAGGTGGTGGGTGCTGACAGGTGGGTGCTCACAGTTGGGTTAAGTTAGTGAGCTTGCCAACAGCCGAGGGGACAGAGCCGGTGAGGTGGTTGTAGTCTGCGCGCCTGCAGGGTAGGAGGGCACGCGTTGGGAGCATTGAGCACACGGGGCGTGGGGTCCGTGTGCGCATGGGATGCAGGGGGTGCAGGGGTGCATGGGGTGCAGGGGTGCATGGGGTGCAGGGGTGCATGGGTGCATGGGTGCATGCATGGGGTGCATGGGGTGCATGGGGTGGGGACAGAGTGACGACAAAGTCGCTAAGGGTGAGGCCAGCGTTTGGAGACTAAAGAAGGTGTCACGGGCAGTGGTTAGGCGGTCAGGGAGGCGCGTGGCTAGGATATAAAGCGTCGCGCCGAGGGGGGGAGGAAGTACAGTGAGCTGAGCCTCAGTGCTAGCAGCGCGGTAGCTAGTCTCTACAGCGCGCAGGTGGGTGGCGAGATCTGCGACAGTGGGGAAGGAAGCAAAGTCAGTGAAGAGTAGGGGCAGGAGGAGACGGCCAGCAGAGGGGGAGGAGGGAGTGGAATAGCAAGCAATAACAGCGTCTAGGTACTCCTTCTCTGTCTCTAGGGCCTGAAAGCGGGGACTCGGACAATGGGAGAGCGTGAATGATAGCTAGCAGCGCAATGGTGCCACGAGAGAGAGCGGGCGAGCTCAGCAGCGGTGAAAGCCTCACCCTCCGCATTCGTGGGGTTGTCAGGTAGGGCAGCAGGCATGGGGGGGCAGGGCAGCTTACCGTGGACATGGATGGCCATCCTGGCGCTGACCCTTCAGCTGGCAACGCAGGTCGGCGAGCCACGCCTCGAAATCCACCGCATGACCCTCCGCATCCAGGTGGAGAACGGCGTCCATCACGCACAGCTACAGCAGCCGGAGAGCTTTGGGGGAGGAGGAGCAGGGAGCAGGTTGGTGCGATGGAGTGCGGTGAAAAGCCGTGGAGTGTGGTGGAGTGCGGTGGAGTGCGATGGGGTGCGGTGGAGTGCGGTGGAGTGCAGTGGAGCATGGTGACGCCACGGGAGAGGAGACAGTCGGCGGGGGCGCCGGCGCCAAGGAGAAACCAGGGCCGGTAGCGAGCAGGGGCCGGCGCGGTGAGCAGGGGCCGGCGTGGCGAGCTGGGGCTGCGCGGCGAGCTGGGGCCGGCGCGGCGAGCTAGGGCCGACGTGGCGAGCTGGAGCGGCGCGGCAAGCTAGGGCCGACGCGGCAAGCTGTGGCGGCGCGGCGGGCTGGCGCCAACGGGGCGAGCTGGGGCCGGCGGTGAGCTGAGGGTCTCACGGCGAGCTGGGGCCGTCGCGGCGAGCTAGGGACGACGCGGCTAGCTAGGGCGGCGCGGCAAGACATGGCCGACGTGGCGAGCTGGGGCCAGCAGCGAGCTGGTGGTCACGCATCGAGCTGGGGCCGTCGCGGCGAGCGAGGACGGCGCGGCGAGACGGGGCCGACGCGGCGAGCTGGGGCCAGCGCGGCAGGCTAGGGGCCAACGCGGCATGGCGAGCTAGGGGCTGATGCGACGCGGCGTGGCAGGCTAGGGGCCAGCGCGGCGCGGCGAAGGCCAGCGCGGTGTGGGGGGCTAGGGCAGGCGCGGCGAGCTAGGGTAGGGGCGCTACGGTAGGCTAGGGCGGAAGCAAGCATAGTCTACGCTTCAAATTCATTGGTTAGGGTGGTGTGGTGGTGGTGGTAGTTGTGAAGCAAGCATAGTCTACACTCCAAATTCATTGCTTTGCAGAACCGGATCTGATCACATTGCCGTTCCATTCCATCCACCGTATAAATACCGTAAACGCCCGGATATAAGTAACGTTTTATTGAGCACCCATTGGGTCTTTTTGGCGGGTGGGTCTTCAGTCGTGGTAGTCGACTAAGCAGACCCCCCCCTTTTCAGTGTTGCCGGGATAAGACCCCCGTGTATTTTTTCCGTGACTCCGCAGCAAGAAGCTAGTACAGATGGAGGAGAGCGTTTTCCCGCAGCAAAAAGAAAATGCTAAGGGGAGTGAGCAAGTAAATTGAGAGGACAGAGAAGGGGGCTGCAGGGAAATATAAGGAGAAAGGGGTTCCAGAACAGGCCCCCAAATTGCAAACTTTTTACTCTGATTCAGACTTTTTTCAGAGTTTTTTTGGGGGTGTACTCTGATTGCAAAGACTTTTTTTTGTACCTTACTTTGATTTTTCAGAGAACCTTTTTGTACCTACGCTGATTTTTCAGACATTTTTTACTAGTGTACTCTGATGCCTCAACCCTATATGGGGGGTTGACTCTGATTCTGTGTAATACCGAGATTTAGGGGGAGCGTGATTAGCGCTGCTACCCCTGTGGAGGGCGCTGACGTGATGCTTGCTGGGGGCTTTGTGAGGGCGCGTACTGTCCCTTCACCAAAATCAAAGGTCAATGTGTACTGGGGGCTGTGTGAAGGAGCTGATTGGCCCTTAACAAAAATCGAAGGCCAATGCGTACTGGGGGATGTGTGAGGGAGCTGAATGGCCCTTGGCCAAAATCTTTGTGCTGGAGGCGGTGTGAGGGGTCGATTGGCCCTTCATGAAAAATTGCCAATGTCTGCCGCGGGCTGTGTGTGCGAGGGTGCCTATTGGCCCTTCATGTGGTTGCCACCTGGATGGCGTTTATTTCCCTCCCTCCCCTCCCTGCAATTTCGATACTCCCCGCCCCAATTCCTATCCGCCCCATCCTTGAAAGTTTACGTGTACCACTACGTCGGCCCAATAAATTCAATTTTATTGGGCCTACATCGTGCACTCTGAACACGTATTTGCGTTGCATCTCACGTAAAATTTGTCGACGTCAGGAAAAAAAAATCCAGGAAATTTCACTCTGAACTCACTCGTAGCGCGAGCCAGGTCTTAGGTGGCGCAAAATTCTGCGATTTCGCCAGCACACAGACAGCTAGAGCAGAATAAGGGAGCATTCTGGAGCTCGTGTCAAAATAACAAGACCCAAAGTTGGGTCTGCAAACCCCGCGGCTCCTGCAGCCGCGGGTCAGCCTTGGGTCAGACCCGAGGTGCGGAATTACTCTAAGAGAGCTCCTGCTGGCATGCCAAGCCCAAGTAGTAAGAGGTCATTAGGGAAGTGTTCGGTGGACGAGGCTGAGGAGGTTATGCAGGACATTTATAGACGTGTAGTGTACAACAGTTTAAAAATCAGCGTAAAACAAATTAGTGACTCTGATTTATCAGACAAAAAATATATTGCTACTCTGATTTTTCAGACTTTTTTTCAGAGGCGAGTCTGATGCCCATACCAAGGGATGGGAGGCAAGTCTGATGAATCAGACACCTCCAAAACCAATTTGGGGGCCTGTTCCAGAAATAACAAAAGGGAAGACGGAGGAGCGAATGCTCGATCCCAGGTGGCAAACTTCCCATCCTATCAGCGAATTCCGCGGTCTCGAATCTGTTCAAGGTCTGGAGACACAATCTTGGCCGTCGTTTGACTTTTTTTATAACCATTACAAATCCTTGCGATTGAGTTTCCATCAAATCCTCACTTTGATTGGCTAGCACCAGATTGAACCAATCAGATTCGCACATGTCGTGGTAGCTTGCATTTTGCGCAGGGTAGACTGTGGGGGCCTGAATACTCTGAAGAACAAAGATGTAAACGAAGAACACAACTACACGCTGAAATAAAGATTCCGCATGTGTACGAGATATGACCCACGTAATTTATTTCCAGGTCTCCTTAGAAGACCCATCCCCAAAATTCATTAGAGTCATACATCCGGCAGGCGTTTACGGTACTATCGGTTTGTTTTTTACGTTGTGAGATCTGTCGTATAATATTTTGTTGTTTTGCGTGCTCTCAAATGCTTATAATTGAATCATACACATGAACATTGATTTCCAGAGTAGCAACTACAGCTACACCCGGTGTCTCGACTTTGATAGAAACATTCCCATCGGTTGAGGATCAGAGGTGGGGGGGAGGGGGGAAGCGGTGGTGATGGAGGCGGGGGAAGTGGAGGAGAAGGGGGTGGTTGGGGAGGGGAAGGCGGAGGGAGAGGAGGTGGGGAGGGTGGTGGTTGGGGAGGGGAGGGCGGAGGGAGAGGAGGTGGGGAGGGTGGTGGTTGGGGAGGGGAGGGCGGAGGGAGAGGAGGTGGGGAGGGTGGTGGTTGGGGAGGGGAGGGCGGAGGGAGAGGAGGTGGGGAGGGTGGTGGTTGGGGAGGGGAGGGCGGAGGGAGAGGAGGTGGGGAGGGTGGTGGTGAGTCGGGAGAAGGGGGAGGAGGAAAAGGAGGTGGAGAGGGTGGTGGTTCGGAAGAGGAGGGAGGAGGGAGAGGAGGTGGGGAGGGTGGTGGATCGGAGGGGGGAGGAGAGAGAGGAGATGGCGAGGGTGGAGGATCGGAGGGGGGAGGAGAGAGAGAAGATGGGGAGGGTGGTGGATCAGAGGGGGGAGAGAGAGATGGGGAGGGTGGTGGATCGGAAGAGGAGGGTGGGTATGATGGTGGAGGGGGGGGAGACCGGGGAAGTGAGGCAGAAAGAGGACGTGATGGGGGGGGGGAAGGGGGAGAAAGTGGGGGAGGGAGAGGTGGAGGGGAAGGTGGAGGAGGGGAAGCGGGAGGAGGGGAAGGGGGAGGAGGGGAAGGGGGAGGAGGGGAAGGGGGAGGAGGGGAAGGGGGAGGAGGGGAAGGGGGAGGAGGGGAAGGGGGAGGAGGGGAAGGGGGAAGTGAGGAGAAGGAATCAGAGGGAGGAGGAAAAAGGGGGTAGGTTGTGGGGGAGGGAGGGGATGGTGGGGGAGGCGAGGGAGGAGGAGGAGAAAGAGGGGGAGCGGGAGGGGAAGGAGGGGGAGAGGGAGGAGAAAGAGGAGGAGAGGGTGGAGATGGAGGGGGTGGAGAGGGAGGAGGGGAAGACGGGGCAAGGGGAGGACGAGATGGAGGGGGTGGGGAGGGGGTGGAGATGGGGGAGGGGAGGGGGGTGGAGATGGGGGAGGGGAGGGGGGTGGAGATGGGGGAGGGGAGGGGGGTGGAGATGGGGGAGGGGAGGGGGGTGGAGATGGGGGAGGGGAGGGGGGTGGAGATGGGGGAGGGGAGGGGGGTGGAGATGGGGGAGGGAGGGGTGGGGACGGGGGAGGAGAGGGCGGTGCAGGAGGTGTTGGAGGGGGGGGGTTCGGTGGAGGGGGGGAGGGAGGGGAAGGTGGCCGGGGGGGGGGCGATGGGCTCACTGTGATCGATGCGGGAAGTACGTAATCCAAGGAGCAGAAGGGGAGGGGAGAGGGGGAGGGGATGACAAGGAGGAAGAGAGTGAGGAAAAAGAGAGTGAGGAAAAGGAGAGTACTAGTGCAAGGCAATTCTAGTACTATGCGAGGGGCGATATGGGGCAGTGTGGATGCCTGGCACTGTGGGATCACAAATGGCTTAGCAGGGCTGCAGGGTGAAAGATCATAGCGACACGGCAGGACTGTTGAGTTGAACCACACAAGATCATAGCGACATGACTGTTGAAGTGAACGCAAGTCAGAAGAGACACAGCACATGCCACCCCATTACCTTTTGCAGCACGTGCCACCCCATTACCTTTCTCAATGCATGACATGCGATCAGCCGAAACAAAGTATCTCGAGGAGGAGCAACTGCATCCGAACACCACCGGCACCTGCTGCTGCTGCTTCTGCCCTCCTGCCCCCGCCCGCCCTCCTTGCACTGGTTTCTCCCCAGAGTATGCGACTGAAGCCAGGCACGTGCCCGCGCCAAAGCCGCACTGGGCGTTGCTCAGCGCCCCCCCTGTTTGGCTGAAACTCGTTCCACAGAAGCTCTGGCACTGGGCTGCCGTTCGCTGCGGTTGAATCACACTCTGTACTGTCACAGCTGGAGGGGGGGAGGGAGGAGGAGGAGGGGGTGGTGATGGTGGTGGTGCTTGTGGAGGTGGTGGTGGTGGTGGCTGTTTTTGCGGTTTCTTCTTGCGAATTCGACCTGCTGCTATCACTGCCAAGCGCCGTGCATGCTCCAGCGGCTCTGCAGTCAGCTCATAAGTCCCATCACCCTTCCACCTCCCTGCCTCTTCAGTCGGCTCATAAGTCCCATCACCCTTCCACCTCCCTGCCTCTGCAGTCGACTCATAAGTCCCATCACCCTTCCCTGCCTCCTCTTCCTCTGCTCCCCCCTCTTCCTGTGCTGCTTCTGCTTCATCTGAGCCCTCACCCGCACTCATCCCCCAAACGCTTCTCCCTCCTCTTCGCTTTCTCCCAACCCACTTTTCTCTGCGTCTTCTGCCGTTGTCTCTTCTGTTGCCTCTGTGGTTGCCCTTATGCAACGGGCCCAGCAAATCGCCTCCCATGCTGTGGTTAATCCACCTACCACCGCCCGTCTTCCTCACCCCCCCTCCTGCAATCCCTCTTCGACCCATCCTCTCAAGACCCATGCGGGCATGTTGTATTCTCCGCCCCCCGTGCCTCATCACTCCCATCCGGCCCATCCCCTCTTCAAGTCCAGATAGTGGTGCCTCTTTAAAAGGCGCCTCTTGAAAAGGCGCATCTTTAAAAGGCGCCTCTTTAAAAGGTGCCTCGTTATGGTCTTCCCCGTTTCCCCCATGCATCAGCATGGCCATCCGCTCTTCATGTCCCAACAGCGCCCTCGTATCCTCCTCCTCAGCGTGGGATGCCAGGTGGGCACGGACGTGGGGGGGGAAGGACTCCTGAGCCGCCTCAGGCGTTACTTGCTGCTCTCCCTGCTGACGCTCATGCCCTAGCATCGCCACCCTCTCTGTGTGCCCCGAAAAAGCTGCCCTGTCTCCAGCTTCGTGGGATGCTAGGGGGGCAAGGACGTGGGAGGGGGAGGACTCCTGAACCACCTCAGCAGTTACTTGCTGCTTTCGCTGCTGTCGCTCGCGCCCTAGCATCGCCACCCTCTCTGTGTGTCCCAAAAAGGATTCCCTCTCTCCAGCCTCGAGGGATGCTAGGTGGGCACGGACGTGGGGGGGGGAAGAGGACTCCTGAACCGCCTCAGCAGTTACTCGCTGCCCTCCCTGCTGTCGCTCGCGTCGTAACATCGCCACCCTCTCTGTGTGCCCCAAAAAGGCCTCCCTTTCGGTGTGTCCCAAAAAGGTATCCCTTTCTCCAGCCTCATGCGATGCCAGATGGGTGCGCGAGAGAGGCTCGGTGCCTTGGAGAGAGACGCCCGCCTCAGAATTTGATTGCTCTCGACTCCGCTTCCCCCTGTCTCCCAGCATAGCCGCCCTCTCTGTGTGCCCCAAAAAGGCCTTCCTCTCCTTGTCCTCATGCGATGCCAGATGGGCGCGTGAGCGAGGCTCGGTGCCTTCGAAAACGACGTGCGCCTCAGAAGTTGCTTGCTCTCCTTTCCTCTCCACCCTGTCTCCCAGCATGGCCATCCGCTCTGAGTGCCCCAAAAAGGCCTCCCTTTCTATGTGCCCCACAAACGCCTCCCTTTCTGTGTGCCCCAGAAAGGCCGCGCTCTCTTTGCCTTCATGGGATGCCAGGTGGGCAAGGACATGGGGAGAGGAGACAGCAAGATCACCAGCGGTGGTGCTATCAGGAGAGGCTTCGGCAGCAGCAATACTGGCCGTGCTGCTGCTGCTGCTGCTGCTGCTGCTCACACCGATGCTTCTAGTCGCAACAGCCCCATCACCACTCCCGCTACTAGTGTCACTGGCAGCGCTCCATATCGCGCCACTGTCACCACCGCTGCTCATACCCACGCTTCTAGTCGCAACAGCCCCATCACCACTCCCACTACCACCGCTACTACCACCACCGTCACACGCCGAGGGGTCAAAAGTGAGGCAGTTATCGGCTGTGTTGACGGTGAGAAAGAGCGAGGGGCAGATTGGGGCGCCGGAGGAGTCGAGGGGGACGCCCGAGCCAAAGAAGAAGTTGGAGGAGATGTCGAGCGAGAGGAGAGAAGTTGCGGAGGGGAGGGAGGGGATGAGACCAGTGAAGTAGTTGCGAGACAGGTTGCTGGGGGCGGGGAGGAAAGGGAGGGGGAGGGGGAAGGGGGGGGGGTGTGGGAGGATGGTAGGGCGGAAGAGAAAGCAAGACTTTTGAGTCGACTGAAAAGAAACGTTGTGGTTTTCAGAATTTCCGGAAAACATCTGAAATGATTCAACAGCTGCTTTGGGGCAAAGAGCGCAGTGGGCAAAGAGCGCAGTGGGCAAAGATCGCAGTGGGCAAAGAGCGCAGTGGGCAAAGAGCGCAGTGGGCAAAGATCGCAGTGGGCAAAGAGCGCAGTGGGCAAAGAGCGCAGTGGGCAAAGAGCGCAGTGGGCAAAGAGCGCAGTGGGCAAAGAGCGCAGTGGGCAAAGAGCGCAGTGGGCAAAGAGCGCAGTGGGCAAAGAGCGCAGTGGGCAAAGAGCGCAGTGGGCAAAGAGCGCTGTGGGCAAAGAGCGCAGTGGGCAAAGAGCGCAGTGGGCAAAGAGCGCAGTGGGCAAAGAGCGCAGTGGGCAAAGAGCGCAGTGGGCAAAGATCGCAGTGGGCAAAGAGCGCAGTGGGCAAAGAGCGCAGTGGGCAAAGATCGCAGTGGGCAAAGAGCGCAGTGGGCAAAGAGCGCAGTGGGCAAAGAGCGCAGTGGGCAAAGAGCGCAGTGGGCAAAGAGCGCAGTGGGCAAAGAGCGCAGTGGGCAAAGAGCGCAGTGGGCAAAGAGCGCAGTGGGCAAAGAGCGCAGTGGGCAAAGAGCGCAGTGGGCAAAGAGCGCAGTGGGCAAAGAGCGCAGTGGGCAAAGAGCGCAGTGGGCTCGGAAAGCAGCACTCTTTGCAGTGGTCTTGTACGGGATTGGCAGGACCGGAAAGAGATTGTCTTTGGGGCTCACAGGTCAACAAGAGAGGAGAGGCGGTCGATGATCGTGGCAGGAGCGCCAGTCAAGGCATTCGCAGTGGAAGTGGAAACAGCTTGCATAGGCTATCTCTCAGGCGCCTAGAGGACGAGGAGCAATGGGGGAGAGAAGAGGTCTCACAGGTCTACAAGCGAGGAGAGGCGGTTGATGATCGTGGCAGGAGCGCCAGTGAAGGCATTCGCAGCCACGTCACTGCCACAGATGCACGGGGGGATGGAGGGACGGAGGAATGGAGGGCGGGACAGGTGGGACAGCGGAGGGAGGGGAAGAGGGAGGGAGGGAGGGAGGAATGGATGGGGAGAGGGAGGGAGGGAGGAATGGATGGGGAGAGGGAGGGAGGGAGGAAACAATATGGAGACAGTACTGACCGCACAGTGCTCGACCGTAGGTATTTGGAAGACAAACGTAGACGCACAATGGAGGCACACCTAGATGCACAATGGAGTCAAGGTCAGGCCTAAACGCACATTAGAGTTACTCCCTCCCACCAATAACTGCAAGGGTGCATCTGACTCTCAAACCTCACGCCCCTTTAGGGCATATATTCCGAAGGGGTCAGACCCCGCGCACCGAGCACCGAAGACAAGGCGAGAGCAGTACAGCACGAAAGGGAGGACTCACAGCGTGTAGAGCTGGGAGCAGGATGAGAGGGACTGGGGCAAGGGGCCCTGCAGCTGGTTCTGGGACAAGCGACTGGGGGGACGCAAGGGGAGAGGGAAGAGAGGCGAGGCGGGAGATGTTAAACCGAGGTGAAATTTTTAGTCGAGGTGACACAAAAGGTACTGAGTGGGGCAAGGGACCTTGCAACTAGTTCTGGGACAAGCAACTGGGAGGGAAAAGGGTTTAGGGGGACAGAGAAAGGCGTTTCAGGGTGGATGATGAAAGATGATGATGTGTGACCCTGATGTCACGCTCACATGATGCTGACGTCACACTCACATGATGCTGAGGTCCGGCATGGCGCTGGTGAAGATGGGAGGGAGCGATCCTGACAGCTGATTGGCCGAGAGGTCTCTGTGGGAGAGAGAGTAATGTGGATGTGCGGATATGGGCAGAGCGGGGAGGTGAGTAAAGGAATTAGAGAATATTCCCCCAGTCGAAAGAAGAGGGGTAACGCAGTCGCTGACTTTTGAGTCGACTCAAAAGTCACCTCACTGGACGAGAGTCTAGCTTTGAGGCGCCTCAAAACTAGTCTCTTCTTATGTGGGTGTGCGGGCGGGTGTGAGTGAACCGGGGGGGAGGTAGACATGGGCAAAAAAAATCGCATCGCATCGCATTTAATCGCGTTTTTGCGATGGCGATGTTTTTTTTTTTTTTTAATCATCGCGCGATGCGATGAATTAATATCGCGCGATTTAATTTAAATCGCATTTTAATCGCGCTTAAAAAACGCGATTTAAATGCGATATGCGATTTTTTAAAAATCGCGCGCGATATTGCACTGAAACCCACTCTGAAACCCACTACGAAACCACACTGGTTATTTGCACTCTAGCTTACGACTGCCCGTGAGTCAATCTCCCCGCAGCCATGGTTTTTTTCTGTTTTTTTGGGGTGTTTTTTTAATTCTGTTTTAAAACGCGATGCGATTTAAAATCGCATTTTGCGATTTAATTAAATATCGCATGCGATTTATTAATACATCGCAGGTAAAATGCGATGTGCGAATTTATTTTTTTTGGAAAAATAAATCGCGCGATGCGATTTAAAATCGCATCGCTTTTTTAAACATCGCACCTGCATGCGATGCGATTTAAATCGCAATCGCGTTTTGATCATGTCTAGGGGGAGGTGAGTAAAGGAATTTGATAATATTCTCCCAGTCGAGTCGAGAGGTTTCACGCAGTCGCTGGACACGGGCTGTGAAGCATGTCGTATGGAGAGGGATATGGCAGGCAGACAAATGGAGATTGATGGAGGACAAGTGAGATGCATATGGATGGGATGGAGACATGAGTTAAGCTGACGGTTTCGGGTCTAGTGAGATGCATATGGATGGAGACACGTGCTTCACATGCTTGTCTTGTCTCTCTATGCCATGTGCTTCACATGCTTGTCTCTCTATGCCACGTGCTTCACATGTTTGTCTTGTCTCTCTATGCCACATGCTTCACATGCTTGTCTCTCTATGCCACGTGCTTCACATGCTCGTCTCTCTATGCCACGTGCTTCACATGCTTGTCTCTCTATGCCACGTACTTCACATGCTTGTCTCTCTATGCCACGTACTTCACATGCTTGTCTCTCTATGCCACGTGCTTCACATGCTTGTCTCTCTATGCCACGTGCTTCACATGCTTGTCTCTCTATGCCACGTGCTTCACATGCTTGTCTCACATCTCATAGAGAGACAGCAGGTTGGACAGGTCAGATGGTATGGATCCTTCCAGGAAGTTGCCATTGAGTAGCCTGCAGGAAAAATGAGGGGAATGAGGAGAAGGAAGTGGGGCAGCGATTTGAGGAGAAACCCAAACCCCGGCACTGCACTGCTAGTACTTAGACAAAGCGATACTACTCTCTAAGTAAACCCAGGATTGTGACAGGAGGCTAGAATGAGAGGAGACGAGGCTGGGACGAGACGAGACGAGGCTGGGATGAGACGAGACTGGTCACTGGAGGAAAGAGAGACACCATAACACAAGAGGTCTGTAAGGGCAGGGGCAAACGCCTCTGAACAGCAGCATAAGAGAAAACGCATGTGTAATCTCTTGTAGGTCACTAAGAGATGTGCTTACAACGAGGTGAGCTCTTGAAGAGTGGAGAGGGCTGAGGGAATGGAGCCCGTGAGGGCGTTGCGAGAGAGCGCTCTGGGGAGGTGAGAGGGCGGAGAGAGCGGAGAGAAGTTGGTGAGAGGATGGTGGGAGGATGGTGGGAAAGCGCTCTGGAGGGGTAAGAGGGGGGAGAGAGCGGAGAGAAGGCGGGAGGGGTGTGGAGTAGGACAGAGGGAGAGAAGAAAGTGCAGGGGAAGAGAAGTAGCATCAACATTAAGGGCCGATGGAGAAAACGCGATAGGTTGATCCAAATCAGGACGTGCAAGCAAGCATGAAGGGGCTATTAAGACGATCCGTGAGGCGCCTGTGCTTTTTAGCATTCTCCCTTAGAGTGGTGTCCTTGAGAATTCAAAAAAGCACAGGCGCCCTGAGGGGCAGAGGGAGGGAGACAAGGGGGGTGTGGGGGGGCCCATAGAGAGCCGTGAGGCGAGAGGTGCGTACAAGTGCTGCAGTCGTGTGAGTGCAGAGGGGGACGCAGGGAGGTGTTGTGTGACGTTGTAACGAGGTGGCTTCTGAGTCGACTCAACAGCCATAGAGAGCCGTGAGGCGAGAGGCGTGTACAAGTGTTGCAGTCGTGCGAGAGCAGAGAGGCTAGTTTTGAGGCGCCTCAAAACGAGAATCTTATCACGCGGGTCACGTACAAGTGTTGCAGTCGTGCGAGCGCAGAGATGGACGCAGGGAGGGATGATGAAAAGCGGTTATTGCATGCCGAACTGAGCGGCGGAACGGGGTTTGAGGACAAGGGGCGTGTGGGGGAGGGGGGAGTGGGGGGAGAAGAAGGGGTTGTGGGGGAGGGCGAGAAGAGGGGGTTTGGAGGGAGGAAAGGAGGGATGGGATTTTTAGGCATGTCAAAATCGGACTGGGAGCAAGAGGTTCCGGAAGGCCGTCAGCTTATATGTGTGTCACATACGTATATGAATCTTTATCTACTCATGCCATAGCGATATACTGAAAGTGGATGAGAGGAAGTTACAAGTGGGTTAAAGAGAAAAGGTTGCCCAGGGTTGATGGAAGTGAGCCGGAGAGTGCGTTGTCGTCCAGAGCCCTGTGACACGGGAGTGCAATGAGAGGGCGATGAGAGGGCGATGAGAGGGCAACGGTATGCAGACAGTTCACACTCTCTCATTCCAAGATGTACACCGTAAGCTGTATCTCCTGCAGATACGCCGTAAGCTGTATCTCCTGCAGATACGCCGTAAGCTGTATCTCCTGCAGATACGCCGTAAGCTGTATCTCCTGCAGATACGCCGTAAGCTGTATCTCCTGCAGATCCGCCGTAAGCTGTATCTCCTGCAGATACGCCGTAAGCTGTATCTCCTGCTGATACGCCGTAAGCTGTGGAGAAACAAAGAAAGGAAGCGAAACTCTAGAGAGAGCTCAAGCACGCACGGGGGAGTGCAAGCAAGCGGCCCTCACTCTTCCACACCCTAAACCCGAAACCCTGAATTCTGCATTGCAATTCACAGCGCTCACAGGTGCTTCAGGGCTGGAAGCGGGAGGTTGGAGGGGATGGGCCCTGTGAGGGCGTTGCGCTGGAGAAAGCTGGCGGTCAGGGGAGAGGGGAGATTGTTTGTGAGAGCATTAGTAAATAAGTAGAGAAACCCAAGAGCAATAACATCAGCCAGCAAGAGGAGGGAGAAGGGACGAGAGGGACACGCAGTGCAAATCGGTGGTTGCGATGGGAGCGGGCGCTGACGCGAGAGGGAAACAAGGCGGGCGGGGGGGATGGGGGGAAGGGGGTGAGCAGGCTTGGGGATGAGCAGGAGGGTGTGTGCGGTGCTGGCAGCTGGCTCACAGGCGGTTGAGGAGTGAGAGGGTGGGGGACAGGGGGGGAGGGGTTAGGGGGAGTGGGCAGGAGGGCATGGGGATGCGCAGGGGGGCATGTACGCTGCTAGCCCATGGGGTTCAGGAGGGCGTGTGCGGTGCTGGCAGCTGACTCACAGGCGGTTGAGCAGCGAGAAGGTGGTGATGAGAGTGGGGAAACGGGGGGAGGGTTGGGGGGAGTGAGTAGGCATGGGGATGCGCGGGGGGGCATGTGCGCTGCTAGCCCATGGGGTTCAGGAGGGCATGTGCGGTGCTGGCTCACAGGCGGTTGAGCAGGGAGAGGGCGCTGATCTGAGAGGGGATGGGCCCCGCAATTATGTTGCCTCGGAGGTCACTGTGTTGAGATAGGCGAGAGCGGGGGCCGAGAGAGGGGTGAGAGAGGGGGAGAGAGGGGGGAGAGAGAGGGGGGAGAGAGGGGGGGCGGGAGGAGACTTTTGAGTCGACTCAAAAGAAAATGCGAGTATGTTGCCTCGGAGGTCACTGTAAGATGGGCGGTTGGGAGGGAGGGGGGAGAGAAGGGGGGGGGGAGGGAAGGCATTTACGAAAAACAGCGGACCTCCTATCACTCCCCAACCCTCGCTTCTCAATCCCAACCCCGGCTTATCACTCCCATTTTTCAAAGTCACTTCCCTTACCAACCCCCGCTTTTCCCTCACCTTCTTCTCAGTTGCCTGAGCAGGGCGATGGACGATGGGATCGATCGATCCACTGAGGCCAGTATTGAGACGTCTCAAAGCTGAACCAGCAACCCTCTCTTTCGACGACTCACATGGTTCTGAGTTGCCTGAGCAGGGCGATGGACGATGGGATCGAACCACTGAGACTGTTGAACGCAAGGGAGCTGGTGAGGAGCATGGGAAGCGCGCGAGGGGGGGGGGGGAAGGGAGGGAGAAAAGTTGGGCCGAGAGAGAGGAGGGATGGGGTTTTCGTAGGACTGTGTGTGTGTGGTGTGGGCCGACACCTTACAGAACTGTTTTTGAGGCGCCTCAAAAATAGACTCCTCACGCATGGTTTTCGGAGGAGTGTGTGTGTGTGGGCCGACACCTTACAGAACTGGGAAAATGCTTTGGACTAAGGGGCCAAAGTGTGGGCTAAGGGGCCAAAGTGTGGACTAAGGGGCCGATTTTACGCATTCTAGAATGCGCACTCCATGCACGAAAGAGTGGTCACTGACAAGTGGTGGGTGCTGGCAGGTGGTGGGTGCTACCGTGCTGGCAGGTGGTGGGTGCTGACAGGTGGGTGCTCACAGTTGGGTTAAGTTAGTGAGCTTGCCAACAGCCGAGGGGACAGAGCCGGTGAGGAGGTTGTAGTCTGCGCGCCTGCAGGGTAGGAGGGCACGCGTTGGGAGCATTGAGCACACGGGGCGTGGGGTCCGTGTGCGCATGGGATGCAGGGGGTGCAGGGGTGCATGGGGTGCAGGGGTGCATGGGGTGCAGGGGTGCATGGGGCGCGTGGGGTGCATGGGGTGCAGGGTGTGCATGGGGTGCATGGGGTGCATGGGGTGCATGGGGTGCATGGGGTGCAGGGGGTGCATGGGGTGCATGGGGTGCATGGGGTGCAGGGGGTGCATGGGGTGCAGGGGGTGTATGGGTGCATGCATGGGGTGCAGGGGGTGCATGGGGTGCAGGGGGTGCAAGGGAGCACGGTATCCTCACAGTGCAGAGAGCGAGGAGAGGGCGGAGATGCCAGCAGGGATGCTTCCAGTCAGCTTGTTCCAGTCCACGCTCCTGGGGGGAGTGGGGAGGGGGGAGGGGCGAGGGGGGAGGTGGAGAGTGGGGTGGGGAGGGAGCCGTGAAAGCTTTAGCTGCATCAGAAGGGGGCGATTTGAGGGCAGCAGAAGGGGCGATTTGAGGGCAGCAGAAGGGGCGATTTGAGGGCAGCAGAAGGGGCGATTTGAGGGCAGCAGAAGGGGCGATTTGAGGGCAGCAGAAGGGGCGATTTGAGGGCAGCAGAAGGGGCGATTTGAGGGCAGCAGAAGGGGCGATTTGAGGGCAGCAGAAGGGGCGATTTGAGGGCAGCAGAAGGGGCGATTTGAGGGCAGCAGAAGGGGCGATTTGAGGGCAGCAGAAGGGGCGATTTGAGGGCAGCAGAAGGGGCGATTTGAGGGCAGGGGCGAGAGGCAGCAGAAGGGGCGATTTGAGGGCAGCAGAAGGGGCGATTTGAGGGCAGCAGAAGGGGCGATTTGAGGGCAGCAGAAGGGGCGATTTGAGGGCAGCAGAAGGGGCGATTTGAGGGCAGCAGAAGGGGCGATTTGAGGGCAGCAGAAGGGGCGATTTGAGGGCAGCAGAAGGGGCGATTTGAGGGCAGCAGAAGGGGCGATTTGAGGGCAGCAGAAGGGGCGATTTGAGGGCAGCAGAAGGGGCGATTTGAGGGCAGCAGAAGGGGCGATTTGAGGGCAGCAGAAGGGGCGATTTGAGGGCAGCAGAAGGGGCGATTTGAGGGCAGCAGAAGGGGGCGATATGAAGGCAGCAGAAGGGGGCGATTTGAGGGCAGCCAGCCACTTTTGGTGGTGCTTGCGTCGATCCGAATCGTGTCTTTAAAAATTGCATTGGACTGTGTTGTGTCGGACAGAATCGCAGAATCCAGCGGAATCGTATCCAGCAGAATCGAATCTTACAGGGTCGAATCTTACAGAATTTTGAGCTTGACGAGCTGTGTGAGCCAGGGCGGCAGGCAGCAGGCGAGGTTGTTGCGGCCGAGGTGGAGAGTGACCAGGGACGTGAGGCTGGCCATGGCGCCTGGGAGCGGGCAGGAGAGGTTCGACGCCACGGACCTGTGTGGGCATGGGGGGGCAACGGGGGAGAGAGGGGCAGGATTGGGCAGGAGGGGGCAGGAGAGGGCAGGAGAGGGCAGGAGAGGTTGGGAGGACGGATCTGCACGGCGCAGATGAGGTTGAAGCGCCTGACATGCAGAGAAACGAGGGACGGGAGGCTGGCCATGGCGGCTGGGGCCGGGCAGGAGAGGTTAGAAGATACGGGTCTTTGTGGCCATGGGGGGACAAAGGGGGGGAGAGAGGGTGGGGGCGGGCAGGAGAGGGAAGGAGAGGGCAGGAGAGGGCAGGAGGGCAGGAGAGGGCAAGAGGGCGGGAGAGGTTGGAGACGGACCTGCATGGCCGAAGGGGAGATGGGAAAGGAATGAGGCTGCTGCACGGGCTACTGGAACAGGAGTGCAGTGCAATGATAGGATTAGCAGCGCGGTGCAGAGCGGTGGAAGGAAGTACTTACAGTGTGGTTCAGAGTGGTAAAAGGGCATACTTACAGGGTGGTGAGGGCAGTGAGGTTGCCGATTGCACTGGGGAGCGTGCCTGTGACGCTGTACAGGAGGCTGGGATTGAGAGGGGCGCACGGAAGTATGAGCCAGCCTTGAGACTTTTAAGTTGAGGAATGAGGTTGAATGGGTTGGACACATGACGTGCAATCTGAGAGGAAAGGCCAGGGGAAGCCCAGAGGGGCAGACATGCGGAGGGGGGAAGAGAGCAGGGCAGGGGAAAGCATCAGCGGAGGGGGGAAGAGAGCATTGCAGGGGAAAGCATCAGCGGAGGGGGGAAGAGAGCAGGGCAGGGAAAGAATCGGCGGAGGGGGGAAGAAGAGAGCAGGGCAGGGGAAAGTATCAGCGCGGAACAGTAACAGTGTAACACTCACAGCGACGTGACGCTGCCCTGGTCGTCGCACCCCACCCCGAACAGCGCCTCGCAGCTCTGCCGCGACGCCCAGAACGCCTTGGGCGTGCGCGCGGCCGGCACCGTGAAGTTGAGCTCGGCGCGCAGCGCCAGCAGCGCGCTCCCTGCAGATCAGCACATGGAGGGGGAGGGGGAAAGGGGGCCCCGGGGGGGGGGGGGGCGGAAGGGGGTGGGGGAGAGGAGGAAGGGGGCTGGCGCAGTGAAGTTGGGCTCGGCGCGCAGCGACAGCAGCGCGCCCCCTACGCATACACACGTGTGATCGGGTTGGGGGGCAGGGGGAGGGCAAGGGATTGAAGAAGGGGCGGAAGGAGGGGAAGAAAGGGGGGGGAGGAGAGGGCGCGGGGAGTCGACGGCGCAGGAGGGTGCGCTCGTTGCGCCGGGACTAGAGGGGAAGGGAGGGGAAACGGGGGGAGGGTGACGGGACGGAAAACGGGTAAGGGGGGAAAGGACGCGTCGGCGGAAAGGGAAGGGGAAATTGCGGAACGTGACTGGTTTGCGCGAGGATGGACGGGAGAGGAGCGCGCATTAAAGTACGACATATACGGCGTAAGCGGCACGCTGCAAGAGACAAACAGGGCTTACAATCGTTAGGGTTGACGGCGACGGCGCTTGCGCGGCCGCAGAAGCAGCCGCACATGCCGGCGATGAGGAGGAGCGCGACCGTCGCCGCTAAACGCGGCGCCGACAGACGCGGGGCGGAGACTAGCGCTTTGGCGCAGCGGAGCTGCCTGGGGGGAGTTTTCCCCCGCTCGGGATAGAACCTGGGGGAGGTGAGCGCCGAGTCGCGAGAAGAGCTTTCGGCGAATTCCGGAATACGCGAGCGAGAAGGCCTGTCTTGTTGGATGGTGGGAATTGAATTGAGGCGCCCGGGAGAGGAGATCCGCGCACGGGGAAAGACTTCGCGGGCTGGATAAGGGGAGGTGCGGAAAGCGCCGCGCGGCTGCGCCGAACTCGTAGCCGCGGCAACGCGCCATCCTGTGCGCGGGAGGCGCATCAGCCCGCGGTGCTGAGGTTCTGCGATGCAGTCTAAAGTCTGGCCTCGTGGGCTGCGACACCTGACGACGCCTTGCGACGCCTTACGACGCGCTACGACATTTCATAGCGAGGCACCCACGCGCCATGACCCAACCTGGAACCCAACTTTCTGGGATGATTCAACGAGGCATCGACACGTGGCCTAGATAACGCCGCAGCTCCCTCGACGCGGAGAACAATCTCGAGGAAGCCCGCTGGTCGGAAAGACAAGCATCTGGACGTTCGCCGAGTCGGCCCCGAATATCGGATCTTTCAACTGCGAGCACGTAAGATGGGTCGTAATGCAGAAGCTACGTGAAGTTAATACAACAGCGGGTTGTTTCTCTTTTTCGGACTGCTCTGATCGTCAACTAAGTAAAGGCGGGTTTGTCAAAAACGAGGAACACGGTTCGAACTGCGGAGATTAAAGGCCTCTTTGAATCTTACGCTTCGGTTCGGGAAAGAGTTCCCAATGAGTCTTAGTCGGGCGTGCGACCATTAGCAGTGTGCTGTGCTAGCGTTCAGCTAGACCAGCCCCACTAGCCCTAGTTGTCTGGTTTGTCGTGCTAGTCCTACTTGATCCCAGGCCTCAGGAAACAGGGTAATTGAACTGAGCGAATTCCTGCGAGCGTTCCGAACACCAACTTCGTATCGCTCCCAGCTTGGCTTATGTTTTCAGGGGTACTTATCCAGTATGTACCGACATTATGAGCGTTGGGAGATAAATCCGCTTTGAAGGCACTGTCAGCGGAACTATGACATGATAGGTCCTCGAACGAGACTGTTTTAGTTTCTGAAAAACGAAACCAATTATTTCTCACACTGATGCTGTAAAGGAGACGCTTAGATAATATCGCACTCTCCCTGAAATCCTTGAAATCCGGGATGCGGGATCAGAAAATCCAGATACTGGCAGGTGACAACAATAGCAAACAAATGAGAAAACTGGCAGCGATACGAAGTTGGTGTTCGGAATGCTCGCAGGAATTCGCTCTGATCTTTCAAGGAAAACAAGGCGACAGTTCGCTCCAGCCATTCTTTTGACGCGTTTAGAATATCGATACCCGTCCAGCGACGGAGTTCCGAGTAGGAGACGTAATATCTTATTAGAGCATTTGCTCCCCTAGAATATAATTCCTCCAGTCATTGTCGGGAGCAGCATATTCCGAGCTGCTCAAAACTTCCGGCCTGAAAAAAGTCTAATTTTTTAGGGCTACCATGTTTGGACAAACTAGATCCGGGGTAAACTCGGATTCTACAAGGTGACCCCTAGGTTAGGGTAGAGGGAGGGACATCGAGGCCTTGTCATTGCTCAATGCACCTCCCTCAACCAATCACTGTACACTTATTGTCGGTTTCAATAGAATCCTCGGAGGCGGAGGTTACGGACAAAAGAATCTGGGTTGTTCTCTGCGGTTTATGGTGATTGTAATACGGTGTGGAAAGGTGAATGACGACTGACCAAGATTCTGTCTCTGTTTCGTACTGTGCTGGCATTCGACGCCTCAACTTTTCCGCGCAGCGCCGCTGGCATGGAGGCGCCTGGCGTGGGGGGAAGCAATGACTGGCGGGATGGGCGGGAGATGCAGGGGCAGGGCGGACAAGTTCAAGATGCCCCCCGTACGATAGACCAATCTCATTTCTGGTTTTTCTCAGGTTAGTCATGGTTTTGTACGATACAGAAGTGTCGCGTAACATTTTTCAGGTCGCGTAACAATTTTCAGGTTTCGCGCGCAGCGCGGAAGGAAAGCAGCGCGGAGCGGGGAGGAAAACCAACGCGTGTGGCAGAGGGGCGAGTGAGGAGGAGGAGCAGCAGGCAGGGCGGAGTGTTGTTGAGTTGAGAGAGAGCAGGGCCTGGGGTTTACGGATAATTACCAGGATTTTATAGTACGGGTAGATTCTAGGCTAAGCTCCCTTCTGACGGGTACCTTTTCCCCTGGATATGGGCATTAACGGGTGGGTATCCGACGCTACCAGGAAGGTATGGAAGGTCTTTTGGCGAATACGGGACCTCCAGTTCCTCCACCATCCCCACCCCCTCCCACTTTTCTCTCGCTCTCTTTCAAGTTACTCGTCTAGGATTTCTAGTGTGGTGAGCCCATTTTGACAGCCCCCGCTGGTAGCAGCAGCACTAAGGACTAAAATGTTTTCTTCCCACGAGTTTTCCTAAGTGAATCGGTCTAGCAGTTTTGTGCTCCGCCTTGCTTGTGGTAGGTGACCTGACAACGTATTAAATACCCTGATGTGACGAGTACAAGGTAGCTCGACAAGGATCGGAAATCACTCGAACTCGTCAAAATCCGGGCTGTTTGCCTGGGAAGAGCGAAATCAATGCCTGTGGCGGGGGAGCGAGTGAGGAGGAGCAGCAGCAGGCAGGGAAGTGAAGAGATGAGTTGAGGGAAACACTGCTTTGTCGCTTGCGGTATGTGGCCTGGGCTCGAGGGCGCGTTTGCAAGAGACGAACTGGAGGTGTGGTGCTTACGTGGCGGGATTTGTGATAGGAATCGAGTCGGTTCGATGGTGGTGGCTGTGGTGATGCCAGGCTGGCAGGACATTTCGAACAACAAGCGAGACAAACTGAGCATGGTGCTGTATGGTCCCCTTTCAACAAGACAATCCAGCTGTAGTGTTCCAGACAGCATAAGTTACGTACTGCAATGTATTCAAATCTATCTACACCCAAAATCTCGTTACGGTAAAATCATGCAGGATCAAAAACTCACCTAGTGTCAATGACGAGATCGGCTTGTTATCAACTTGCGCAATTTCGGAGTGCCCTGTACCGAATGTGGCTTTTATTCCAAGCAGCCCCGTTTCTCAAGTCTCTAATATCCAGATTTGCAAACGAGCAATTCACGCGATGGAAAGCACACGCGCGTGCGCGATGGTTTGCAGTTTCATTTTGTTTGAGTGTTCGCCCTCACCATGGCGATTGACCGTTCGGATCCCGGGTACACTCGGAAACCTGTTTTGGGTGTAAGGAAATACCAACAGCGGTGGGCGCATGGTAGTCATGTATTGCTAATTTTCGCTGAATACAAAAGCAGCTGCTCTGCCCGAAACATTGGACAATAACTGTGTAAATGGTGTACTTAAACTCCCTTTTCTCTCGTTACGTGTAACCCGCCGGCACACTTTTCGCTGCCTCACTGGTTTTCGCGCAACACCAGCCACCCCCACTTACCTCTGCCCGAGGACCGCCGACCAAGCCGCATTTTCCGCAACCAACCACACGCGCATTGCGCTCGAAGAATTGCCACTCGAGGCGCACGCGAGAATTAAAGTGACCGCGTCAGACGGGTAATTACCTGCGGTCGGATTAAAGCCAGCCATTATCCTGCTTCATCGCCGTAGAGTTACCATTATCCTGAGGTTTAAACAGGCAACTTGAAGCTATTACAATTCTAGGCAGTTGCCGCCAGGAAAGCGCCGTGAGATGCGGGAACGTCGTGGACGGGAGTTGCTCGGGGGGGAAGCGTCACCATCGCACGCTCAGAGACAACGCGGGGGACTGCCGACGGAACGAGCGCGGGCGTCACGCGCTTCGAGACTATTTATTCCGCATGGCGCGGCGGTGATTGGGGCCCTGGCGGTGCTGTGGGCGGGGAATTTTCCCCTTCTTCCGCGCGTGGGCGCTGTGGTGCCCCTCAGCGCAAGCACAAGTGAGCGCGGACCGGCGGAGAGCTGGGCGCGAAGGGGGAAGGGGGGAACGGGGAACGGCCCGGGGAAGAGGGGAAGGGGAGCAGGGGTACCGCAGGATTGGAAAACGGGGGAAGAGGAGGGGTGCGGGACGGGAAGGGGAGGTTCGTTCGGAAGTAGTGGCGAAGATGGCCGAAGCTTCTCCGGAGGTTCCACCCACCGCCGCCACCACCCTTCCCTTCCTCTCTCTCGCTTCTTCCTCCCTCCCTCTTTCCTTCCTTCCTTCCGACCGTCGACTCCTTGCGTGGCGCTCACATGGTCGCCAACCAACACAGCTTCCACACTGTCCAACCATTCGACTCCCCCACCTCACACCTTTCCCACTCCTCCCTCCCCCCCAATCCCCCCCCCCCCCCCGCTTCCTGCCCCCTCCGCCCCCCAATCCCCACCCCCTCACCACTCTTCCCCACAGCCCAAATCTTCCTGTCAATCAATTCATCTCTGGGCGTTACACTCGCCACGTGGACCGCCACCAACACCGCGTGCACTCTATCCAACCAGCAGAGACACTTCCTCTTATCCCCATCCCCCCCTCTCCCCCCCCCCCCCGGTCCAAACCCTTCTGACTATCAAGTCATTTTTGGGCGTCACCCTCACCTCACCACTTGGACAGCCACCAACACCACCTGCGCTCTCCCCCCCCCCCTGTGCTCCCTCCTGCCCATCCCCTCCTCCCCCACCACCCCCCCAGTCCAAACCCTTCTGACTATCAAGTCATCTCTGGGTGTCACCCTCACCACGTGGACCGCCACCAACACGGTCTGCACTCTCTCCAACCAGCAGCAGCTTGCCACGGATTGGACGGGCGTGTACTGCTCGGCCATTGGAGAAGTGAGATACATGTAAGTGTGGGTGTGTGTGGGGGAGGGGGGAGAGAAAGGGGGGGAGAGAGGAGGGGGTGGAGAAGGGGGGGAGAGAAGGGGGAGAGAAGAAGGGGGGGGGGAGGGCATTAGTGTGCGCTGCACTGATGGGGGGTGATTCAAATGTGTCACGTCACATTGCCTTTTCAATGCTTGTCTTTTGCAGCGATCTGGAGGGTCAGAAGCTGTCAGGAAGCATCCCAAAGGACATCTCCAAGCTCACTCTGCTCAACCACATGTATGTAGGGCATGCTGACTCATGTGTACACCATGCTGACTCGCATGTACGCCATGCTGACTCACATGTACGCCATGCTGACTCGCATGTATGCCATGCTGACTCGCATGTACGCCATGCTGGCTTATGTGCACGCCATGCTGACTCATGTTGACTCACATGTAGGCCATGCTGACTCACATGCGTGCCATGCCTTCTCTCCTGCGCGTTTCTCCTCCCTTCCCTCAGAGGCCTGGGCGCATTTGAATCGACTCAAGAGTCGCCTTTCCCCCAAACCCCCTTTTTTGTTCCCCCCCCCCCCTCCTCCCCCTCCCCCCCTCCTCCCTCATTGCCCCCCCCAGGGGCCTGGGCACGAACCTCTTGGCGCAGCGCCTGGACGTGTCTATTCTTAACCTCCCCACCTCCCCCCCTCCCCCCCTCCCCCCCTTCCCCCCAGAGGCCTGGGCACGAACCTCTTGGCGCAGCGACTGGACGTGTTCACATCGAATGTGCTGCCGCTCTCCAACCTCGCAGACCTGTGAGTGGGCCTGTGAGTGGGGCTGTAAGTGGGCCTGTGAGTGGGCCTGTGAGTGGGCCTGTGAGTGGGGCTGTGAGTGGGCCTGTGAGTGGGCCTGTGAGTGGGGCTGAGTGGGGCTGTGAGTGGGGCTGTGAGTGGGCCTGTGAGTGGGGCTGTAAGTGGGCCTGTGAGTGGGCCTGTGAGTGGGCCTGTGAGTGGGCCTGTGAGTGGGCCTGTGAGTGGGGCTGAGTGGGGCTGTGAGTGGGGCTGTGAGTGGGCCTGTGAGTGGGCCTGTGAGTGGGCCTGTGAGTGGGCCTGTGAGTGGGCCTGTGAATGAGCCATGCCACATTGCTGACCTGTGATGAGTGTGTTGAGCCTGGCAGCTGACACGGTACTGATGCCATGTGATGTCATTTTATGCCATGGGATGCCATGCCATGTGCTTGTCTTTTATCTTCTTTACAAGCATGTCCAGTAATGGCATCAAGAATTCTTTCCCCCATCTGCCATCGATCTTCATGCTCCTTCCTACTCCTCCCTTCTCGCCCCCTTTTCCCCTTCCTTGATTGTCTCCTGTCCTCTCTATAGGCATATCCATCAGAATTGGCTATATGGCACCATCCCTACAGCCCTAATCGCCCTTCCCAAGCTATACTGGATGTAAGATGAACTGAAAATATTTGTTAGTGATTGTTCATATTAACGAATTTCAGCTTATGCAATACAACTTGTAGGTCCTCCTTCGGCCACCTCTCCCCCTCACCTCTCCCCTCTTCCTTCCCCCTCAACAACATACCCCATGCAGCAAGTCCTTCCGTAACTAACTCACCGGCAGGACTTGCTGCATGGGGTGTGCTGAGGGGGGAGGAACTTTCAAAATCACGCCCTTCTTGCACTCCTCCCTCCACCCCCAGAAATCTCAATCGCCAGGGTCTTGCTGCACCTTCCCCGCCCCCCGCCGCCCAGCTCACAAGTACATCGATCTGCAGCACAATTCCCTCTCGGGCCCCTTCTCTCTTCCCCTTCCCTCCCACTTCTATCCCCCACTTGCAGCACTTTCTTCCGCAACTACCTAACCGGTACATTCCCCGCCCCAGCCCGGCCCTCAAGTACATCGCCCTACAGCTCAACTTTCTATCAGAGCTGCTTCCCTTCACCCATCCTTCCCCTATTCTTCCCCCCCTCCCCCCCTCCCCACCCCCTCCCGCTTCCCCTGCAGCAAGTTCTTTAGAAACTACCTAACCGGCACATTCCCCACCCCTGGCCCGGCCCTCAAGAACATGGACCTGCAGCACAACTTCCTCTCGGGCCCCTTCCCCTCGCACTCCGCCACCTACTGCACCGCCACCAGCAACTGCTTCTCTCAGGCCGCCACCTGCAACACCACCGCCACCACCCAGCGCTCCCCCGCTGCCTGCTCCGTCTGCGGCGTGACGATGACAGGGGACGGCACGGGGTGGGTGGTGCCGGTGGGGGGAGCAGCGACGCAGGTGTTATGTGGGGGAGGTGTATGCGCTCCCAACGCCACTGTCCCAGCGAGTCTCGGCTCGCCGTATGTCTCGTCCTCTCCGCTGCTCCCCATGTTCTGTGCTGTTGTCGGCATGGATGGGGGGTCGTCCCAAGCCTTGCTTGCACTCAAGTCGTCCCTGGGAGTCACCCTTCCCTCGTGGGTTCCCGCCCCTACTGCTACAGTCATGGGTGTTGCCTCAACGTCTCCCTCCTTCCCCTCCTCCTCCTCCCCCTCCTCGGCGTATTTATGCCCGGTGACGGGTGCGTTGGCACCTCCCCTGTCGGCTGCTGCTGCTGCTGCTGGCACGTGGAGTGGTGTGGATTGCAACGCAGCTGGTGCGGTTGTCAGAATGTGAGTAGAGCGAGCGTTTGACAGTCATACACCTCCTCCGCCTCCTCACGTGGAGTGGAGCAGTGTGGAGCGGAGTGGAGTGGTGTGGAGTGGTGTGGAGTGCAATGCAGCGGGTGCGGTTGTCAGAATGTGGGTATGACCAGCAATGGACTGCTGGCGTTGGCATGTTAAGTGGTGCAAAGTGCAGTCTGGCTGCCGTGGTTGAAGTCATATTTAAGTTTCAGAGATGTCAGGATGAGTTATTGTTCTCTTGACTCCTCTTGACTCCTCTTGACTCCTCTTAACTCCTCTTGACTCCTCTTGACCCCTCTTGATTCCTCTTCCCTGCCTCCATCGACTCCCCTTCTCTTCCCCTTCCAATTCCCCCACTTCCATGTCTCATGCCCCACGCCCCCTGCCTGTTGTAGGTGATTTTTTAGAACTCTCAAAATCATGCCCTCCTTGCACTCCTCCCTCCACCCCCAGAAATCTCAATCGCCAGGGTCTCACCGGCACCATCCATTCGGCCATCTCCAAGCTCACTGCCCTCACACATATGTATGTACACAACACACCATGGAGCTCTGCTGCACTGCCCCACGTGTGATGAGCCGATGTTTCAGGCGCCTCAAACCTTGACGACTCCTCCACTGTCCATTCAGCCACTTCCAAGCTCGCTGCCCTCACACATCTGTACGTACGCGCCGTGGAGTGCTGCTGCACTGTCCCACGTGTGATGAGCCGATGTTTCAGGCTCCTCAAAAATATAGAAACCAACTCAAATTTTATGGATACAGGCCGTGAGAGTACTGACTCTGACCTCTTGCGCTCAGCTCCGCACTTCTATCTTATGCCCCTTCCTCGCTGCCCTCCCTTTGCCCACTCCCTGCCCCCACCAGCGACCTAGGCTACAATGCCGTCCAAGCCCGCCTCTCCACGTTGGCCTCAAAGTGACTCATGCTGCTTCTCCCTTTCGCCGCTCCCTGTCCCCTCCATTTCCCCTCCATTTCCCCTCCATTTCCCCTCCATTTCCCCTCTTTTTCCCCACTCCCTGCCCCCGCCAGTGACTTAGGCTACAATCTCATCCAAGCCCGCCTCTCCACGTTTGCGACCCCCCTCACCGCTCTGACTGCCCTCAAGGATCTGTGAGTGTGCTGTGGGGTGCTGCGGGGTGCTGTGGGGTGCTGTGGGCGTGCTGGGAGTGTCGTTGTAACGAAGGTGGCTTTTGAGTCAACTCAAAAGTCACCTCTCCACGTTTGCGACCCCCCTCACCACTCTAACTGGCCTCAAGGATCTTTTAGTGTGCTGCTATTGCGATTTTGATTTTGATTTTTTTTTATTTTTTTATTTTTTTGGGGGGGGGGGGGGGGGGGGGGGGGGGCTTGGAAAACTGATCTGTGAGTGTGCTGCTGAGGTTGTTATTTTATTTTTGAGGCGCCTCAGAAACAGATCTGTGAGTGAGTGTGCTGAAAATGCATCGCATAGACGCGCCGTGCGTAGTGCACCGTGCACCATGTGATCATTACATTGCAGGCAGATGCTTCATCATGGGTGTGACGATAATGCGTGTACTCTTTACAGGTTTCTTCATTACAACTGGTTCATGGGCTCTATTCCTTCGTCTCTCCTCCGATTGCCAGCCTTGACAGCACTGTAAGTGCTGAGGGGCAATGAGGGGTGATGAGGGGTGATGAGGGGTGATGAGGGGTGATGAGGGGTGATGAGAGGCGGTGAGGGGAGATGAAGTGCGTCAGAGCATGGTAGCCAAGGAAGCCCAGGAAATCCATTTCTTGAAATGCTACCATGTACTTTAACGATTGCTTCGAGCCACCAATGACTACGAGGTTCCTTCTCATGTTTCTCCTCTCCTCTCCCCCTCCCCCCCTCCCCTGCCCCACTCTTCCTTTGCCTGTCCGCCTTACAACTCGCCCCAACCCCACTCCCCCTCCCACCCCAGGGGTCTCTTCTCCAACTACCTAACTTTGCAGGGTGTTTTTGAGAATTCTCAAAAATACCTAACCGGCACCATCCCTCCCATCCCCTCCTCGCGCGTTGGCCTTTACAACAGCAACAACTTCCTTTCAGGCTCCCTCCCTCCGCAACTCTCTCCTTCTCTCTCCCTTCCTCCCCCCTCCCTCCCCGCTCCCTTCTTCCCCCACTCTTACTGTTCCCTTCACAACCCAGTGGTCTCTTTTCCAACTACCTCACCAGCACCATCCCCCCCATCCTCTCCTCGCTCGTCGGCCTTGACATCAGCAACAACTTCCTCTCGGTCTCACTCCCTCTTCAACTCTCTCTTCTCTCTCGCTCCCCCCCGTCCCTCCCCGCTCCCCACTTCCCCCACTCTTCTCTTGCCTTCCCACCCCAGGGGTCTCTTTTCCAACTACCTCACCGGCACCATTCCCCCCATCCCCTCCTCCCTCGTGGGTCTCGACATCGGCAACAACTTTCTCTCGGGCTCCCTCCCGCCTCACTCCCTCCAGTTCTGCGCAGCCGAAAACAACTGTCTCTCCTCCTCCACCTCCTCCTCCTCTTCCTCCAAATGCAATTTCTATGGCACTAATCAGAGGCCGCTAGCCAACTGTGCCGTGTGCGGGATAGGGGATACAGCAGGAACAGCAGGGGTGGGAGGGGGGTGTTGGGATGGCGTGTGTGTGGCAGACGCTGCTGTGCCTGTCGCTCAGGGGGTGCCCAATGGGCCCATGCAGCCTACTCTCCCCATGACCTGTGTCGGTGCGTATTGCAAGGACTTTCCTTTGAGCATGTCTGAAGTATTTCTGGGTGATTTGCTCAAGAATTGTGAGGAGTCTATTTCTGGGCGCCTCTGCGGCAGCTGTCTCCCAGGGTGTTCCCAATGGGCCCATGCAGCCTACTCTTGCCAGGACTTGTGTCGGTGCGTGTTGGCTTTTGAGCCGACTCAATTTGGTCTTTGAGAATTCTCCAAAACCAACTTCCTTTTGAGTCGACTCAAATGCAGCCTTCTCTTTCCATGACTTGGGTCGGTGCGTGTTGTGAGGACTTGTGAAGTGCTTCCTTACAACGTCAGGGTGTGGGAAAAAAAAAAAAAAAAAAAACAACAACAACAACCAAGCCTACTTCAACTCCGGGTGCCTTTGCTCCTGCTTTGGCGCACTCACTATCACACCTCTCCCATGCGCTTCCTCTCTTTTAGTATAGATATTTGTGAGTTTCTTCATCATAAGTTTTCTTTCCTTCTCGCTTTGGCTGGTTTGTATCTTCCTTTTTTTTCCGGCGTAATGGTTTGCATATGTGACATGTGTGGCATGTGTGGCATGCGTGGCATGTGTGGCATGTGTGGCATGCGTGGCATGCGTGGCATGTGTGGCATGTGTGGCATGCGTGGCATGTGTGGCATGTGTGGCATGCGTGGCATGTGTGGCATGCGTGGCATGCGTGGCATGTATGGCATGCGTGGCATGCGTGGCATGCGTGGCATGTGTGGCATGCGTGGCATGCGTGGCATGCGTGGCATGTGTGGTATGTGTGGCATGTGTGACATGTGTGGCATGTGTGGCATGTGTGGCATGTGTGGCATGTGTGGCATGTGTGGCATGTGTGGCATGCGTGGCATGTGTGGCATGTGTGGCATGTGTGGCATGTGTGGCATGTGTGGCATGTGTGGCATGTGTGGCATGTGTGACATGTGTGTGTGACTATGGTTGTTCCTAGCAGGCTCTTCTGTCGTCACCATTCGCTCTTCCTCCTGTGAGTACCTCTCCTCGTTGCATGTGATTTTTCAGAATTAGTGTGAGAGTCATCAAAAATCTCCTCCTGTGAGTGCCGCTCTTCCTCCTGTGAGTAGCTCTCCTCGTACGTGCGAGGGTTGTCAAACCGCCACCTTTCACCTCCCCCTTGCTCCTATTTTGTTCATGATATTTAGTCTTGAGCCGCCTCAAAACTAGACACCTTTCACCTCCCCCTTGCTTCTATTTTGTTCATGATATTTAGTTTTGAGGCGCCTCAAAACTAGACACCTTTCACCTCCCCCTTCCCACTTAAGTTTGTGCGATTGGTGCTCCTTCTTTTTGCCATCTCTTCCCTTCCCTCCGCTCCTCCCTCCTCTCCGTGCAGCATCTGCACTGCTCGCCCTCAAGACCACTCTCGGGGTGTCCCTCACCACGTGGCGCACAGATCTCCCCTGTGCAATCGATGGCAGCACCAGCAGCACGTGGAGTGGGGGCACCTGGTCTGGTGTGCGGTGTGACATCACGGGCAATGTCACTTACCTGTGAGAATGTGACTGAAGGAAACAAAGCCAAGTAAATGAGTTTAGCAGCCGAATAAAAATCGCCTTCCAATCCGATCTTGCGTGCCACCCCTCTTCTGTACCCGCACCTCGATTTTGCAGGGTGTTTTTGAGAATTCTCAAAAACACCCTGCTGTACCCGCATCTCCTTTCACTCTCCTACCTCCTCTCCTCGTCCATCATGTGAACCTGCTATAAAAGTGTCACCTCTCCCTCCCCTCCTCCCTCCCCTCCGCCCCCCCCTCCTCCCTCCCCTCCTCCCCCCCCTCCTCCCTCCCCTCCTCCCCCCCTCCTCCCTCCACTCCTCCCCCCCCTCCTTCCTCCCCCCCTCCCTCCCCACCTCCCTCCCTGCCTCCCTGGCAGCGACTTGAACTATCAGCAGCTGAGAGGGTCCATCCATGCTGACGTCAGCAAGCTCACTGCTCTCACACTCCTGTAAGGCACATGCATGCGCGTATATTTGTGCATACACCCATGGATGTGCACATAGACCATGTATGCCCCAATGCCCATGCACATGCATGTACCCAACCAGTATGTGCATATACCCATGGACATGCACATAGACCATGTATGTGCAAATAGACTCATGCATGCGCCAACACCCATGCAAGTGTATGTTCCCCAACCAGTCTGTGCAGATACCCATGTATATGACAGCAGACTGTGCATGCATGTCTGTATATGAATGTGTGTAATGAGTCGATTTTTGAGTCGACTCAAAAATCGACTCATTACACAATGCTCGTGGTTCCTTTCTGACCGCAGGAACCTCCATGCCAATGTATTCTGGATGCCTCTCGGGAGTTTCACCTCCCGCCTCTCCGCACTCACCAACCTCAAGCTGCTGTGAGTGCAGCATGAGTGCAGCATGTTATTTGCAGCATGCTTTGTGGCATGCTATGTGGCAGGCGATGTGGCATGCTATGTGGCATGCTGTATGGCATGCTGCGTGGCATGCTACGTGGCATGCTGTGTGGCACGCCAGTCACTTTTCTTTTGCCACTGCTTCCTGCCCTCCTGTTCCTCATCCCTCGCCCATCATCCATCCCCCTTAGTATCTTCATTCCCTTACTGCTATTGTCCATCCGGCTCCAGTCAGCTGCAGTACAACTGGCTCTACGGGTCCCTGCCATCCACCCTCCTGGCACTGCCTCGCCTCACAAAGCTGTGAGTCGATTCGTTTCAACCACGAGATGGCTTTGAGTCAACTAAAAGGTCAACCTGCTCTACGGGTCCCTGTCATCCACCCTCCTGGCGCTGCCACGCCTCACAAAGCTGTGAGCTTCAAATTTATGCTCGTTTCAACCACTATGCCCTGACCAATGTGTTCCAAGCACTATGCTCGTTTCAACCCCTGTGCTCTGACCGATGTGTTCCAAACCTACCATATCTTTCATTTCACCACTTCTATCTTTGCTACCCTGTTTGTGAATCCCTTTGCCATGCAGGACTCTGAACTTCAACTTCTTGACCGGCACGGTTCCGCCCGTCTCCGTTTCCTTGGCTTACCTGTCCGTTCAGCAAAACTATCTCTCAGGAACCTTCCCCTCGAACAGCATCACATACTGCAATTCACTGTACAATTGTTTCACTCAAGTTGGCAATTGCACATCAGCAGGACGTGATCAAAATATGGGCTTTATGTGTTCGATATGCGGTTCGGTGGATGGTTCGGGGGCCTTATGTTCGGGAACTGGGGTATGCAAGCCAAATGTTGCTGAAGCTGTAGCTGCTGGAGCAGTTTATGGGCCAGACTCTGATTTGGTGGTGATGTATTGTGACACAATCTGATCATGTGCTTGACACGCAAATTGGGCTCATAAGTTTGGGTTGGGTGTTGTAGGGGCCTAAATTGAGGCTAGATATAACTGCAGGAGTTAATTTGGTTTTGGAGGCCAGACATGCAATGTCAAGCTGGCAGTACTGGTATTGGGGAGAGCTTCCCATTGTATGATGGATTAGGATATAGACTTGGAGTCAAAACGTGAATAAGTATTGTGCCATCTCAAACTGATATACTGATATGAGCTACAATACAGTAATTCCCCTTTCTGTACCGAACTTCCCTCGGCACAGATCAATTCGAGGTACGCACACAACCCACAACCCTTTCTCCCACTTTTCTGATTCCGCATTTCGTCCGTGGCAGCACGTGTCAAAGCCGTCTGAATGGTCGTTGAATCTGGAAGCCAATCTGTCCACCTCAGCGCCCGATCAGCTTCCGCACGCTCGACCGTCCAGATGGCATCGACTGACCCGTTACAGCCGTAACAATTGGCAAGAATCGCATCCAATCCCGTAATGACGGGTCTCCAGCTCGTCGCTAATCACCGCGAAATCAGCATGACGAAAGGGGTCGTTCAAATCGAGATAGCAACCACCACTCGCGTCACAAGAGCAACCTCAACCGTGCGAATCAACGCTTCGGATAGTCTAGAGAGTATCAATGGTGACCCGGTTGTGATCCAAACCGTCCAAGACACAAGCGTCGGGTCAATTCATATGTGAATCTGGTTCTTTGTGACCCCATTCCTCTACTGTATCAATGTCAATTCATCTCCAGCAGCGTCAACTCTATCACCTCACCTCATCAGCATTCACCCATCCCTGCCAGGTCAGCCATTCCTGGGGGAGTGTCCCTAGAGAGCTCCCTACTGTATAAGCTCCCTCGCGCAGGTCAATTACAGATCTTCTATTACAGACTGACAGAGGTCTGCTGGAGCCATTTGGGAAGCTGCCTGGAGCTTCCAGACTCCTATCCCAGCTTGATTCGTGACGTGAGATTTCCTTCCCTATCGAGATCGTGATCCCAGCCGCCATGGCTCTTGCTGCTTCTCCCGCGGTCAGGGCTTGCAACCTACCAGCAGATGCTGCTCGGCAAACCACTGCCAGCAGCAGATCTGCAGTCAGCACTGGTGCTGCTGCGCCGCTGTCCAGCCGGTTTCTGGGATCGCGAGTTTCCGCTAAGGCCGCTAAGGCGGTGCAAGTGAAGGGGAACTGGAAGGCTGGTGCTGCTCGCGCCACTGCAACCGCCGATCCTTCAACTGACACCTATGTCGTGCCGGTGAGTGATCAACGACGAAGACGATTTGTCTTTTCATGTTCTATGCCCGAAACTTTTGTCGCAGTCTTCGAGTTAGTTTGTCAGAATGGCGATTGAGTGAGAATCTTAACTAGTCTCCCCACTCCGCACCCCCGGCTTGACTTTTCGGCCGTGGCAGGGTTTCTGAACTTTTTAAGTCGTGCGTTTTGTCGTTTGTTCGTCTCCTATTGCAAGGATCATGTCCATCGTTCTTCCTGCCGTTTCTCCACTCTCATCTGGCCACGCCATCAGCTTCAACGTGGTTGAATACCGTGCATCTCTCGCATCAGCCCGTGATATCCGCACTGCGTCTCACATATCTTCTATGTTTTCATCTTTTCCCGTTTTTCCTGGCCAGGATCTTACTCGCGATGACGCGCTGATGCTGTACGAGGACATGGTGCTGGGTCGCACGTTCGAGGACATGTGCGCTCAAATGTATTACCGCGGAAAGATGTTCGGCTTCGTGCATCTCTACAACGGTCAAGAGGCCGTCTCCTCCGGTGTCATCAAATACCTGCGAAAGGACGACTACGTTACCAGGTAACGGACGCTTCTATTCGGACGATGATATTGTGTGTGGCGACTGAGCACTCCCCCAGTCAGCCTTTCTCTACCCAGCCTTTCCCTCTACCCCTTACCCCCCGTCGTTCTTAACCCCCCCTTCCACCCCCCCCTTCTTCCTCCTCCTCCCTCTCCATCCCCCGCGTGTCCCGCATCCAGCACGTACCGCGATCACGTGCACGCGCTGAGCAAGGGCGTGCCGGCGCGCGAGGTGATGGCGGAGCTGTTCGGCAAGACGACGGGGTGCTCGCGCGGGCAGGGCGGGTCCATGCACATGTTCTCCAAGGAGCAGGGCCTGCTCGGGGGCTTCGCCTTCATCGCCGAAGGCATCCCTGTCGCCGTCGGCGCCGCCTTCTCCGCTAAGTACAACAGGGAGGTGCTCAAGCAAGCGGACGCGGATCAAGTCTCAGGTGAGGTGCCTCTTTGCGCTTATAGCAATATCGCATGTTTTCAAGGCACCTTGAAACGTTACTGTCGCCGTCGGCGCCGCGTACTCCGCTAAGTACAACAGGGAGGTGCTCAGGCAAGCGGACGCGGATCAAGTCTCCGGTGAGGATCCTCATTCCGCCGTATTTTATCGCATTCAAGAACGTGAATGAGGCGGTTAACGAGCAGAGGGCGAGAATACTGTCACGGGCTTCCCATCGCGACTTCATCCTCCTGTGCTTCCAGTTTTTATATCATTTCTATTCGTTGTCTTTTTTGTTCGTCCGGCTGCAGTGGCCTTCTTCGGCGACGGCACGTGCAACAACGGCTCCTTCTTCGAGTGCCTCAACATGGCGACGCTCTGGAAGCTTCCCGTCATCTTCGTGGTGGAGAACAACCTGTGGGCCATCGGCATGAGCCACCTGCGCTCCACGTCGGACCCCGCCATCTGGAAGAAGGGCCCCGCGTTCGGCATGCCCGGCGTCCACGTGGACGGCATGGATGTGCTCAAGGTGCGCGAGGTGGCGCTGGAGGCCATTGATCGCGCGAGGCGGGGCGATGGGCCGACGCTGATCGAGTGCGAGACGTACCGCTTCCGCGGACACTCGCTCGCCGACCCCGATGAACTCCGCTCCCCTGGTGAGTGAGCTCCGCTCTCCTGGTGAATTATCCCCGCTCCAGCCACGAAGCAATATTATCACCTGTCATGTGAATGATTTTGATCACTGCTCCAGTCCAGCACGAGAGTCGCCCAACCATTCTTCCTCAATGTGCACCCTCAGGTGCCCTAACTCCCGCTCTTTCTACATTCCACCCCTCTCCTCCTTCCGCCTTCCCCAGTCCCTCTCCTCCCTCGCCCCTTCCACGTCGCGTCTCCTCGTCCGTCGCCATTCCTCATCCTCTCCCCTTCGTCCCTCCTCCCTCCTAACATCGCAGAGGAGAAGGCCAAGTACGCCGCTCGCGACCCCATCATCGCCTTCAAGAAGCACATCCTCGAGACCGGGCTCGCTTCTGAGGCTGACCTCAAGGTGAGAAATAACTGCATGCGCGCAACAACTTCAGGAGGCGTATGAGAAATTGCATGTGTGCTTGTGACCCCATCATCGCCTTCAAGAAGCACACCCTCGAGACCGGGCTCGCTTCTGAGGCTGACCTCAAGGTAAGAGGGAGTCCTCCTGTGCATGCAAGCAACAGCTAGAGGCGGTTCGGTTTTTCTTAGTTGCTCGCAATATCACATCGGCCTGAAGCACATCCTAGAGGCTGGGCTCGCAGTGCGGTGGCTGATCCTCAAGGTGAGAGGGATGGGCTACAGGCAGGGCCCAATAGGTGGTCGCTGTGAAGGTCAAGGCTGTGGACAGTGGACTTTCGAGCAATCTGCCCTCAGAAAATGTGTGCCATTAGATGCTCACATCTTGTTGGGATTCTGCTGGCTGGCCGAATGAGCCGCATTGGCTCTGTCAGTCATGCTGTCTGGTCACACGCCTCCGCGTCGCCCGATGTGCTGCGCTGGAAGAATGTGAACGCAAAGAGCTGTTAAGCTCGAAAACAGCAGGCTTTCTTTCTCGGGGGCTCAAGCATGGTTACCATACTATGTGGAAGCAGGAAACATGCTGCATGAGCAGGCTCTGATGTGGGTATGGTGGATGAATGAAGGAGTGCATGAGCACTATGCCGAGAGAGTCTCAGGCTTGTGTGTCCTGAAGGTCCAGTTATCCTGGCAACTGCAGCCTGTGTCAGATCTACAGTACTTTGCCAGGAGCCACTGCCATTGACTTGGGTTGCCTCTGAAGGTCAGGGCTTGTGTGAAATGGTGTGTTGTTGGACGAGTCTCTTGCGCTGTGCTCTAAATGCGAGTACTCGTTTCTGTACCTGCACCCGTTTTTGTCCATGCAGGCGATTGAGAAGAAGATTGACGACATCGTGGAGGATGCTGTGGAGTTTGCTGATGAGAGCCCACTGCCGGAGCGCCACCAGCTCCTGGAGAATGTGTTCGCCGACCCCAGGGGCTTTGGAATTGGAATCGACGGCAAGTACAAGTGCGAGAACCCTGACTTCACTGCAGGCACTGCCCAGGTGTAAGGCTTGTCTACTGCAAGCCAGGAAAGGCAGGGAATGGTTTGAATTATTAAACTTTAGTTGGTGCCAAGCAAGGATGTGTTTAGGTGTTCTTGCTTGAATGCCTTTTTCTTCTGTGTGATATTTGAGTTCTTGATACATAGTAAGTTTCTGAGGGCATCATGATTGCACAGATGAAGGTGTACTGAAACTAATCAGTTGTATCGTACATGAGTGCATATTGTCATGAAAGAGTGCTTTGGTTTCACTACAGCAATATGTATTCTATGCCTTGATCAAGTACTATGACGATGCTTGCACAATCGAAGCACGAAGTAACGTATTCTCTGTGTTCTCGTCAGATTTGCATCGCTTGCAACTTGGGAGCCAAACGTCAAGCTCCATACCAGAAAATATTCTGAGGTGCCAAGTTGGAATAATTGCAAAATTACTAGGCAATTTGCGTGATTCTCATTAGACGACGTGTAAATCGTTTTTTGCTGATCGTACTTCATAACGCGGATTCGCTTGGAATACCAAACGGCACTTCACCATCAAAACAGGGTCACCGGTCCACACGCAACACCCTGGCGCGTGGGTGTTGCGGAGAGTGCGCGGAAAGCATGTTGAAAGTGGGACTCACGGGCGGGGAATGGCGGCAGGAGTGCCAGGCGGGGGAAACTTTACAGATTACAGTAGTGTATTGTGTGGTGCTGTGCTTCTTCCCCCCCTCCCCATCCTAAACCAAATGCTTTCTGAGATGCTCAATGCCACCTTTCGAGGTTTTAGGGCCGCGACGGGCCATGGAGGTTGTCGAGAAGGCAAGTGCAGGAGGTTCGCTTTTAGCAGTATGAGCGCACTCAGCGGGAGTTTGAACCGTTTTGTGCTAAGTGCCACGACCTCGCTTAGAGCTGGCTTCACGTCGCAGGATTCAGATCCGACATCGTGGGACAAAACGCAACGGTCCCAGTCAATCCTCTCAGCAACGCTAACCGGGTCATCCTGACTTTGGCGTGCCATGACACGACCGGTCGACGCGAGGGGCGTCGAGGAGAGGGGAGGGACGCTTCCATCGAGTCCGATTACGCAACGCCCCGTTTGCAGCAAGCAACCGACCCTCGATCCCCGATCCCGGCCGTTCCTTAGACTCCGCGGGTGGTAGCAATGTGCGCACGCTTGTCTTTGAGTTGACTCAAAAGCAGGCCGCTCCATAAAATCCAAGGGTAGTAGTAGTACGCTCGCGCTTGCCGCAACGGACGCCCGTAGCGGTTGCCGAGCCGCATGATGCCGCCGCGATTGCTTGCACGAGCCGTGTTCTGCGAAAACTGGCTTAACCGTTGGATGGGGGAGAACTCCCTCGCCGCAACCGAAGGGAGCCTTGTTCCTCGCTAGGGAGTGCCCCCTCCGGCGAGCAATGCCCTTTTGATATACTCTTTCCGTCTCTCCGTCCCCCTTCACGCGGGTCGCCAGACTTTCGTCGCTCGCTCGCCCGCTCCCTCGCTCGCCATGGGCTCGCCGCTGTCGCCCTGCGACTGTGCGATCGGCGTGCGACCCAGCGCGATTGAGGCGGTTGAAGAGGTTGACTCCCCGTGCGAGCTGCCAATCGGGAGGGTGCACGCGTCGCCCACCCGCCCGCTGCCAGCAACGGCAATGGCAACGGCAGGGAGAGAGATCCGCCTAAGTCTGGGTGTGCGTCGACTGAAAGCTATTAAAGCAACCGACTCAGGCCACCTGAAAGATCATCCGAGTCTTGCTCTCTTCAACCCACAAGCACCTCCGGGGTCTCACCCCTCCCGGCTGAATTGAGCCAGCAATCAGCGTCGGCAACTTCTAAGGTAGTCACTGCTTGGCCAGCGACTGCAAGCTCCAAGGCTCCACTCCATAAGACCAGGCGTAAGCCTCTCCTTTGAGAGGTTTTTTTTTTTCCCTCCCCTCAGTAGGACGACCAGGCTATCGGTCGCCATGGCGCGCCAATCCTCTCTCGTGTTCTCGCTGCTCGCGCTTCTCCTCGCATGCGCGCTCCTTGCGCCCTCCGCCTCCGCCAGCCGCCACCTGGCGGAAGATGACGACTACGTCGAGCCCGTGGCGGACGAAAATGCGGTTCCGGAGGCCTCGGGCGGCTTTGGCGGAAACGCCGGCGCGGACGCTGGCGGAGGCGCAAGGGGACTCTCCTTTCCGCCGAACTTCCCCGGCGCAGCAGGCGGCGCAGCTAGCGGCGGAGCTGGGGGCGCGGCTGGGGGCGCAGCTGGGGGCGCAGCCCCAGGGTTCCCGGGAAGCGACAACGGCACCGGCACCGGCAACGGCAACGGCAATTCCACCGACGACTCGTCAGACGACGACGAAGAGCTGGTTGACACGCCCATCAGCCCGCTCTTCGACCTGGCGCTCGAGGGCGCGGATATGGAGTTCGCTCAGAAGCTCAATCCCTCTCCCCTCCCCGCGGACGCGCCCTTGGAGGTGAAGCAGTTCCTCGCGGCGCAGGTGCAGCCGGGGCAGGTGGAGGCCGACCCCGGGCGCAAGCTGGCTGCTGCTGTTGAGAAGAAGCCGAACAACACGACGCCGTTTGGATTCTACCCCTATGACTCTCCCAAGTGAGATGGTCTCTCTTCGTCTCCCCCGCGGCTTGGTTGTGCGGCCTTTACCCGCTGCCTTTCCGCTCTCTGCACAGCCGTTAGTCGCCTCGCTTTCTTGACCCCTCTCCCCTCTATCTTCACTCCTCACTCTCCCGCGTCCGTCTCACCTGCCGCCTCGTCTCGTTATCTCTCTTTTCCTCTCCCTCTCCCTCTCCCTTTTCTTCTCCTCTTCTCCCCGCCTCGCCCTGCCCTTCTCCCCCTGTGCCTCCCCGCACCCGCAGGTACCACAAGGTGTTTGGAATAGCGGTGAAGAACGTTAAGAAGAACTTCTGGTACACGTGGGTGAACAAGCAGAACTACTGGTACGGCGCCGACGACTGGGCCACTGGCTACTGTAAGCGCCTCCTGCCTCTGCTCCTGCTCCTGCTCCTGCTTCTGCTCCTTTCCTATGTCTCCTCCCCCCCCTCACTCTCTCACGCGCCCTTGATTCCTTGGCTTCGGTCTGACTGTCTTGTTGTACGGATGCTTGCCTCTTCTCCCCCTCCTCCCTCCCCTCTCCCTCCTCTCCTGACCCGACCTCCACTCAACCTCTCCCACATCCCCCCACCCACCCTTCCCCTCACCACTCACCCCTCCCCCTTCCCCCCTCCCCCCCTCCCCAGGGACCTGCCGTTTCACCGCCCCTCACCCGCTGCACGGCTTTAACTGCACCAAGGATGAAACGTGCCCTGGGTGCGACCGCTGCCGCGGGTGGAAGTGCTTCCGCAACATGCACCTGCCCACCTACGGCTCCTCTAACGGCCAAGCCTACGCGATCAACATTATGACTGCCGCGTCCCGCCCGAAGAACTATGGTGTGTGCCGCAATGCTGGGGAGCCCACTGACAAGGGGTGTGGCATGGATAAATCTGCCGGCGGGGGCTTCGGCGTCTTCCTCCCCTAGACCCTGTTGCCGGATGGCGTCGGCGACTGGCGTGTTTTGTCTCTTGTGGGGGACAGGGGTAAAGGGGCATTGGGGTCCTGGGTAGGGGCCGGAGGGATGATGAGGAGAGGTGGAGGAGAGGGGTAGGTTGATACGGTTCAAGAGTTAGGGAATGGAGGGTCGCTTGATACGGTGACGATTGGGGGAGGGGTTTGTGGTGCTGTGAGTGCCTTAGCAAGCCTGGTTCTTGCTCCAAGCAGCATGCCTGTCTCTTTGCTTTTCTGTGTGATCGGGATCATTACAGAGGGCATGCGGATTGTAGTGAGACCTGCTTGTAACCCACTCATTTGAATAAAAGGACTGGATTTCTTACTCCTTGTTTGTCAGCTAACTACCGTTCTGCTGTTCCTTTTGCAACAAAGGCAATACTAGCCAGGGTGGGTGGGTGGTGGGAAGTGGCCTAAACACCAACAATGCCCCCCTTGAGTAATGGTTGCAGGCCTTTCCCCTTTTAGAACGACGTTTATGAATGTAGACAATGACTAACTATTTAGTGCAGTGCATTGGTTGACGCGCATATCGCGTTCACGAAAGCAGTGGATTTCTCTAGAGCATACCGAGCAGTCAACCACATCGCGCTTCACCCTCGGTTTGGGCGAGATGACTCAGCACGGCACAGCAGGGATTGTTCTAGAGAGTGCTCCAGAGACTAAAGCTCTGGACATTCTAGAATCTCGAGTTTCAGCTCAACATGTAGTCTCTCGTGCGCCAGTCTCTATTTCCAGCTTCGGCTAGAATCTTCCAAGTTCAGAGCTGATTGGCAACGCCACGAATCCCTTCGCCAGCTCCGCTGTTCTAGACGTATCGCCTGCCTTCCAGAGCCATGGCCTCGCTGGTTCCCGAACATCCGAACATGGATAGCGAACCGCCTTTGGGTGTAGCTCTAGTAGCTTTCCGTATAAAGTCTTGGTAAATCCATTCGAGCGTCATCAAAATTTGAACGACCAATACAGCGCTCATCAATCGCAACTCTCTCAAGTTACCTTCTCGCACTCTCTCAGCGGCATTTTCACAGTTTCATCGTAGCGCGAGTGGACAACACCATGGCTCTTACACCGTTTACAAACGATCCGCTGTTCAACTCCATTATCCGGCTGTCGCACATCCCTGACGAGTTCAGCACTCTTTTCGACGCCCCGACGTCGAAGTTCGTGAGGGACAGCAACGCGATGGCGTCGACTGCCGTCGACGTGAAAGAGACTCCCGAGGCGTTCAAGTTCATCGCGGATCTTCCGGGCCTGAAGAAAGACGAGGTTAAGGTCCAAATCGAAGATAAGAATTTGCTGACCATCAGCGGCGAGCGGACTCGGGAGGTTAAGGAAGAGACGGAGAAGTATCACCGCGTGGAGCGGAGCACTGGCAAGTTCCTGAGGCGATTCCGGCTTCCGGATAACGTGGAAGTGGATAAGATCGCTGCGAGCTCGGAGAACGGTGTGCTTACCGTGACGGTTCCGAAGTTCAAGCCACCGGAGCCGAAGAAGCCAGCTATTGTGGATATTCCCATCAACTAGAGTGTCAGAGACACCTTGTACTTGCTACTTATGACATTACATGATCTTCGCTGGTTGTGGCGTCTTATTATGCTGTACAGTGCATTATTGAGTGAGGAATTTTGTAGACACGACGCGAGCTTCGTTTTTTTCTCTTAGTTCTACGTGCTGAAGCTTGCAATCTGTGAAGCGCCATTGCGTTCAGGGATGAGCATGCACAGCCTCTGATATAAGTATCAGAAACTATATGAAGGCAAAGCGGAAATTTCATGAAGGCTAGCTTGACAGGAGCAATGGGGAAGATAAGTGCAGTCTAGTTCGGAGTAGGGATAAGGATGTGGGAATTCTACGAATTCACGAATCGTATGCGAAAGTTGGGACTTTACCAATTAACCTCAGGCCACAGGGTAGCTTTGAGTTCGCTTGATACCAGAGAGCCGAGTTTGTGTTTGCAACTTCAGGATGCGAATTCCTCAGAAATCGAGTTCGTGGTAACTGATATCGGCACAGTCGCCTGCAAGAAGCACCCAACTTCATACATCCGTTGGGTTTCTTCAAGACAATCCCCAGACCACCACCTCAGGATGTGTCCCTCCCAGGAGTAAATCCGATTGCGGTTGAGTGAGTTGAGGTGTCTTTTGGAACGATCACATAACACTGTAAAACGGTTGGCTACGGTATTTTCCGAAACCTACTCTTTGACACGCCCTGAGGAAGACCACAACTAGTTTCTGTATCTGGTTGGGTTGATGGTGATGCATGTACTGTACAACCCAACCAATCCATTCTATTGTTAGGCTCTGCTGTTGTCCAGTCTAGGTTGGTCATGGCTCACAATGGTTGACGTCTCCCAGCTCTGCTCCTAGAGCTTGTTCCTAACTTTGCGCTCTTGCCAGACGTGCTTTCTCACGGCCAGCTATCCGTGTTGGCCGTATGATGGACGATCGGTACGGCCGGTCAGGCATGGCTGACCGGAGGCACGAGTTTGTGGATCTGGGAACGGAGGAGCGGAGAATATGGCCGACGAGGAAGGGCGACGAAGAGTCGTTAAGGATTGAGGCGAGGACGTCGGCGTATATGATGGATCCCCTCGGCCGCTCAGCGATTGATTTCGATTATGGTAGGTGGTTTTCTGGCAAATGATAACTGTCTAGCCCGCCTTACCAGCAAAGCAGCTCCTCTTATCATCTCCCATGACAGCAATTTTGGAATCGCCAGATTTTTTTTTCTCCTTCCCTTTTTCTCCGTGATAAAACCGAACGGACGGAAATGCATGCCGTCGTGGGGTGCTTTGTTCCTGTCAAATGGCAGGCAAGGACTCGCAGGGATCCAGCGGAGGCGTGGTGTGGATATCGAACCTTCCCGACAACGTTAGAGAACGGGACATTGCCTCGCTCGTGGGAGAGGTTGCTGAGATCCAGGTACATAGGCAACTGATGCAATTGCCGAGACGGATTTTGAGTCGACTCAAGAGTTGCCTCGCTTGTTGGTGAAGTCGCTGATATCCAGATCCCTAATGCCTGGTCTTATTTGGCGATCTGTCATCTCGTGCAGATGGATCCTGAGACGCGAGGGCTGAAGACAAGGCTTCACTTCGACGGACGGGATGGAATGGTGGCGGAAGTATGGCTGCAGAAGCCAGGCTCGGATCAGCACGTCGTCAAGTGGTTCGACGGTGCGTCACGCAGGTTTTTTTTGTAGAGTTATCTAATTATTTCCGGCGAGTTCTCTTATTCTCCCGCTGTCGTCGTTGTTTTTTTTTCTTTCTTTCTGTGTATTCTCCTTTGTTTGATGACACTCAATCCTTACATTCTTGCTTGCTTTCCGTCCTGCTGCTGCTGCTGCTGCAGGCTATGTCTTCCACGGTCTTCGCATGAAAGTGACCATGGATCCTCCGGCCAATTTCACCTCCGCGTTTCCGCGCGACCTGCCTTCCGCACCAGCCGACCGCCTCGCTCCCCCCGCGCCCGATCGACTCGCCGGGTTCCCAGATCGGGCTGGTTTGCCGCTTTCAGATCGACTCGGGTTACCAGTCGCGGATCGTCTCGGGCTACCCGTTACAGAACGGCTTGGCGGTCCTGTTAACGACCGGTCTGCCGGTTCCGTTTTGGACCGGCTTGGGAGGCCAGCAGGTCTGGTTTCAGGGTCCCCCATTGGAGGCCCGGTGCCGGACCGGCAGAGAGGTCCGGTGGCAGATCGGCTAGGAGGTTCGGTACCAGACCGACCCGGAGGCTCGGCAGCGGATCGCCTAGGCCCGTCAGGCTCGGATCGCTTCGGAGGACCTTTTCCAAATAGGCAGGATTATGGCTCTTCGCGGGGGGATGACGTGGCAGATGGGTACGGGAGCGGCCGCAGGAATTCAGGAAGCGGACTTGACGCGGGCCGCAGGAGCAGCTACGGTCAGGAGGATCCCGACGCGGGCGGGCTGCAGCGGCTTCGACACGACATGGGGCTGCAACGGCGGGAGCTGTCGACTGGCGGAACGCTGCTTGCTGTTCGCGGAGCGGCGGATGACGAGGCGGGCGGAAGTGGCGGAATGAGCGGTAGCGGCGGAATGGGCGGGAGTGGCGGAGTGGGCGGGAGTGGCGGAATGGGTGGTAGCGGAGGTGTGAGTGGTGCTGCGGGTTTGAGTAGAGGGGGGGTCAAGGGCTACGGTGGACGAGGAAGCAGCGATCTGGATCCAGTTTCATCTCCGCCGTTGAATGCCGTCGTGTCACCACCGGCGGGCGCAGGAAGCGGAGCGGAAGGTGGGCGCGGAAGCGGAGCGGGGGGACCTAGGCGGTTGGGCTCTCCGGAACGTTATTTCTCACGGGAAGAGGCGCGGGATGGGAGGGATTCGGGGAGAGATGGGGGGAGAGATGCGGGGAGAGATCTGGGGAGGGACGGGGGGAGAGACGGGGGGAGAGACGGGGGGAGAGATGGGGGGAGAGATGCGGGGAGAGATCGGGGGAGGGATGGGGGGAGAGATGAGGGGAGGGATGCGGGGAGAGACTCCTATGGCAGAGGATCACCCCGTGGGGGCGCGATTAGGGGAATGCGTGAGATTGAGCAGCGGCGGGGGGAGATGGAGGGGCGGCTTGGGGAAATGGAGGGGCGGCGGGGGGAGATGGAGGGGCGACGGGGGGAGATGGAGGGGCGGCGGGGGGAGATGGAGGGGTTCGCGGAGCAGCAGCGGATGGAGGAGCTGGTCGCCGCGGGCATGGGGCTTGCGGGGATTCCGCCGGGCGCGCACGTAGCGGCGGCGCATTTCGGCGCGCGCATGGGCATGGGCGGAGGGTTCCTGGGCCCGCGGGGGAACCCGAACGTGCAGCCGCGCGAGGGAGACTGGATCTGCGTCGAACCCATGTAAGCGAACGCGGGAAGGCGAAAAAGCAATAGTACGTTCTAGGGCCTTTCGTGTACAGGTGGATGGCAGTGACTAAGGTTACGTCTCGATGATCTCTGCGGTGAGCTGAGGTTTGGATGGGTTCGGATGCTTTGTCCGGCAGCAGCGCTAGCTGATTCTCTCGCAGCGGTTATGGGTGACTGCAGCGGAACCAGGTGGGTGAGGAATTCCGCGGGTCTGGTTGGTGGTCAGCACGGGTGGTGACTAGTGCCGGTCGGTCAGATTAGAGTTCCGATGCTTTGTCCGGCAGCTGCGCCAGCTGATTCTCTCCCAGCGGTTATGGGTCACTGCAGCGGAGACAGGTGGGTGAGGAATGCAGCGGGTCTGGTTGGTGGCTAGCGCAGGTTGGCCAGATTTAGACGAGCTTGGATGTTTTGTTTCGCAGCTGGGGCCAGCTGAGGCTCTCGCAGCGGTTATGGGTGACTGCAGCGGAGACAGGTGGGTGAGGAATGCAGCGGGTCTGGTTGGTGGTCACTGGAGCTGGTTTGGTGGGTGGTTAGTGTGGGTCGCGACTTAGTGCGCGGGAAGGGTGGGCCAGACGGGGAAGCTGAGTAGCAGGAGTGAAACGACAGGTGGGTTGACCAATCAGAACTTCGCTTGGGTGCCGCGAAACACAGGAGCCGAAATCCGTTGTACAGGTTTCCGGTCAGGGTTTCGGGGTTAATGTACAGTCTCGGGGCACCTTGTAGATAGTTGACTCTCCAGCCAGCAGCAATCCGCCTGGGAAACTCTCAGACGATTTTTGAGGCGCCTCAAAAAACCAGCAGCAATCCGCCTAGGAAACTCTGAGACGATTTTTGAGGCGCCTCAAAAAACCAGCAGCAATCCGCCTGGGAAACTCTGAGTGGGTGGGTTGCGTTGCATAGGCAGCGAAGCTGCTTCATTCTTTGGCAACGCCTTTCTGCCGCCCAATCTCCTGGCTTTTCTCCTGGTCCTCCTCCTGCTCCTCCTCCTCCTGCAGGTGTGGCAACCTCAACTTCGCCCGCCGCGTCCGCTGCCACCAGTGCGGCATGCCCCGCCGCGAGCAGCCCCCCATAGTCCCCCTACCCTTCCCCCCAGACCTCCCCCTCCACCGCATGGGGGGTCCCCCCATCCCCATCCACCCCGCCCTGGGAGGCATGCGAGGGGGAGTTGACGGACCCAGGTTTGGTATTCTAGACGGGCATGGGCTTTCCGAAGGGCACATGGCGGGAGGAGGTGGTAGGGATGTTGGTTTTCTGCCAAGGGTCGGTGCTGGTAGCAGCAGGGAGTACGGGGGGGATGGCGGCAGGGGGAGCGGGCGGCGGGGGGAGTATGATGAACGACCAAGATCTCGAGAAGGGATGGGGAGTGGTGGAGGGGGGTATGATGGCGGAAGGAGGGGGTTGAGTACGAGGGAGGAGTATATGGGACTGGAGGGCGGGTATGGGATGGAGCCCCATGGGAGGGGGAGGGAGTGGATGGGGGGGAGGGAGAGGGGGATGGGCAGGGGGGCAGGGTGGGATGTGGCGGGTGGTGCTATGGGGCGAGGAGGGCACGGAGGGCACGGGGGGATTGGAGGGCTTGGAGGGCATGGTCCGATGTTTGGGGTGAGAGGGAGGGAGGATGGGAAGGCGGGGGGCAGAGACTGGGACTTGGAGAAGGATCGGGCTCTGGAGAGGGCGCGAGAGAGGGAGATCATGCGGGAGAGGGAGCGGAGGAAGGGGAGGGAGCGCGGCAGGGAGAAGCTGGGGGAGCGGGAACGGGGGGGGCAGGATGGGAGGGAGGGGAAGGAGCGGCGCGATAGGGGGGTGGAGGAGGAGGAAAGGGGCAGAGACAGGGATAGTGACAGGGAGAGGGAGAGGGAGAGAGAGAAAGGCAAAGGGGGAGAAGCTATCGGGGGGCTTCGAGAAGGCAGCAACAACAGCAGAGGGAATGGCGAGAGGAGGGAGGAGACGGCAAGGCGGGTGCAGTCCCCGGAGCGGCGTGCGGTGAGAGGGGATGTGGGGAAGGAGAGGGAGAGGAGCCGGTCCCCCCGTGCTCGGCGATAAGAGATTTGCCGGAAGGAACACCAAACGGTTAAGGAGTTTACGGCAGGCTGAATGGACTATGGATCTCCATAGCCCTCGTGGCCCTATGCAGATTGCTATGCAGCTGTGGTGTGTTAGTGGTATGCCCATGGGACTGCAGTTGTTTGTGCAGAAGAGAACCTCCTTTGGGTTCTGCCCATGGGTTCTGGGAGGGAGCCTTAAGGCACAGGGGCAGGCAGCCAGGAGCAGCAGTGACGACCACTGTTGGGGATCAGCAGCGCTCTCTTTAGCTTATTGTGGTACTTGCTTATTCTAGGCCCGGTGCCCTTCTTAGGAAGGGCTCTTTTCTGTAGGGCGAGGGGTATTCTGTAGGGTAAGTCGTGCAGTGCAGCCGCTGGACAGGGTACGGTTGATGTGGGACGTGGGATTTTTTGGGTCAGCTGATGTGGACAGTGGAATGCAGTGTTTCTAAACCGACATGGCTTTTTCAGCAGCGCCTCCTCAGCCATCAGCCATGCCATGCCATGCCATGCACCCACATGCACTGGGATTCGCAAACGACATGAACACATGGCCGTATCATGCCATGCTGCTGACATCCCATCACAACCCATGCACAACCCATCCCACCCTAAGCCGAACCATGCCATGCCACACCCTTCCATCACATACCACACACGCATTCCCTGTTCATTTTTTAGGCGCCTCAAAAAAGCATTCCCTGTTCATTTCCTGGTAGACTGTAGATTGGCATTGGTTGGTACCCACCTACCATGCCTGTCTCAGAGTAACAGAATGACTAGAATGTAGACATACCGGTACAAGGAAATATATGGTTGGGTGTTGTACTCTCTAAGAGCACAAACCCTTCTAGCCTATAACTGCTACATATGCAAATATGTTTGAGTTGACAGCCTGCTCCCACCTAAAACGTCATAATGCTAACATCGCTGTAGAACGTGTAGTACAGTTCCACCTTTATTGGTCCCTCCCTAGTCATTACAACACAACAAATCACAGCAACGCTGCGTCACGTCACGTGTATACTCAAGCAGTGCTAGGAGTCTATTTTTGAAGCGCCTTATAAAGAGCACGGACAGACCAGTGCAACGCTGCATCATATGTCTACTCCAGCAGCGCTAGGAGGGTGCGCAGTAGACGGGAGCATGCGGCAGGAGGGGTGAAGGGGCCACACATGAGGTAGACCACATTGCCCAGTGGCCGTGCGTATATGCCGTGATGCCGCAGCCGCGCCAGCAGACCCTTGGCTGCCGTTGAGCCATACCTGTGGGGAGAGAAGGGGGATATAGGAACCAAGGGAGGAGGGGGGGGGGGAATAGTGAGATCGGGTGGAATGGGGGGGGAGGGGTGCAGTGGCTGCGCTGCCACAGCCTTGCCAGCAGACCCTTGGCTGCGGTTGAGCCGTACCTGTGGGGAGAGAAGCCGTATATGGAGAGCAGGAAGGGGGAGGAATTAGTGAGATCAAGTTGAGTGTGGAGGGACGGGTGTGGAGACAGTTGCTCGAGACGAGACTGATAAGTCGCGTCAGCTGCAGCATCCAAAACACAGCGAGTATGACGACTGCAGATCATGATCAGACAGAGCAGGACACTAACCCAGATGCCGCACCCATATGAACCCTCACTGAACCCATCTGCACACTAAAACACCAGAACCCCCGCCTGCCACTCACCCAGCGCCATCTGTCTTGAGCTCAGCAACGAAGACTGTGCCTATAGCCAGCACGCGCTGTATTGAAGGGCAGTTGGAGATCTGCTCCACTAGGGAGGGGTCCCACAGCTGACAGCGGGTGATGGGAGGGATCGTACAGAAGAGGGAGTTTGTGAGGGGGACGAAATGAGTAGTGTTGTTGAGATATGTAGCCAACACGCACTGTAACGAGGGGTCCCACAGCTGATGCCAATAATGGGAGAGAATTGATCGGATTTTGAGAATTTTGACCGTTTGGGGGGGGTGAGGTCAAGCGAGAGGAGGAAGGTACCAAAGAAAGTTTATAACCATCTTCAGTGCGCTTTTATGTTGTTGAGATGCAACCTTTGGTACAGGCAGAGAGGAGCACAATGTGCTAAGTACTGCTCTTAGGCCGCACAGCGTGGGTTGCAGTTGGGCTAAGTACCTCTTTTAGCTGAGAGCCGTTCGGAAGGAGGTTGGGGTTGCGAGCGGGGTCTGAAAGCGCCTTAAGAGCCACACAGGCAGCCGCACAACCGGCGGGGTGGGCGGTGTAGGAGTGGCCGTGTAACAAGGCGTCCAACTGGCATGAGTAGTAGAAGAGATTGAGAAAAAAAGAGAGTGGAGGGAGGAAACGAGGCATGGGAGAAAAGAGTTGGATGTCGCATGGGAGAAAGGAGTTGGATGAGGCATGGGAGAAAGGAGTTGGATGAGGCATGGGAGAAAGGAGCCGGAAAGGATGTGTTCAGCAGAAAGAGAAAAAACCCCAGGGACCCCTCAGGAACCTTTCACAGTACTCAGGAACCCCTCACAGTACTCAGGAACCTCCCACAATACCCAGGAACCCCTCAGGTTGGTGGAAAAAACCATCTGTGCCTACAGGCACTTAGCACGCTGCCAGCACGGTCAGGCACAGACAGTTTTGCTGCTGAGCGAGAAAGTACCTGTCAGTCAGTCCCCATCGGGAGGTCTGAGTCGACTCAAAAATACCTGTCAGAGCTGTCGTCGGTCAAGACGCTCCTCTGAACTCAAGACCAACAAACCTTGGAGGAGCCATAGAAGGAATCATTTTGAGAGGAGGAGCGGTCGTCTGAAGCCATAGACGACCGCTCCTTTGAATCTCAGAAGGGATTATCACTCGGTCAAGACTCCCCTCAGAACTCGAGACCACAGTACCTTGGAGGAGCCATAGAAGGAAGCAGTTTAGAGACGTCTCAAAACAGCAAATGATCACTCGGTCAACACGCTCCTCAGAAGAGCTCACGCCCGACGTACCTTGGAGGAAGGAGCCTTAGAAGGAACCTTCCTCCAAGGTACGTCGGAAGAGCTCATGCCCGACGTCTTGAGACGTCTCAAAACTCAACTATAATCACTCGGTCAAGACGCTCCTCATAACTCATGCGCAACTCACCTTGGAAGAAGGAGCCATACTAATAATACCTGAAGGCATCTCAAAACAAAACTGACATCACTCGGTGAAGACGCTCCTCGGAACTCATGCGCAACTTACCTTGGAGGAGCCATAGAAGGAATCAAAGACAGATGCCGAGGCGAGCGTGGCGGCCAATGGGATCATGCCACCTGTCAGCAGCTTGGCATAGCAGGCTATGTCCGGAGAGCAGCCCAGAAGATCCGCTGCTGACTGGGAGAGGGGGGAGTGGGAAAGGGGAGGAGGGGTGGAGGGGGAAGGGGGTGAGGGAGAGGGGGAAGAAGCCGTCTGTGAGCAGCTTGGCGTAGCAGGCTATTTCCGGGGAGCAGCCGAGAAGCTCCGCTGCTGACTGGGATGGGGGGAGAGGGAGGGGGGAGGGGGAAGGAGGGATGGCGGGAAGGGGTTGAGAGGGAGGGGAAAGAAGTGGCCTGTCAGCAGTAGCCGGCTATGTCCGGAGAGCAGCCCAGAAGCTCCGCTGCTGACTGGGAGAGGGGGGGAGTGGGAAAAGGGAAGAGGGGTGGAGGGAGAAGGGGTTGAGAGGGAGCGGAAAATAGTGACCTGTTAGCAGCTTGGCGTAGCAGGCAATGTGGGGGAAGCAGCCTAGAAGCTCTGGTACTGACTGGGAAGGTAGCGTGGGAGCTGAGGAGGGAAAGAGGTCACTACACACGCTCTCCCTTTTTCTCCTGTTCTCTCCTAGCCCCCATTGGTCCCACCTGGGAGCCGAGGCGCCAGCAGCCAGCAAAGACCTCATCGAAGATGACCGGGATGGAATGGGAGCGGCAGAAGGAGACGAGAGTGCGCTGAAACAGCGGGTCGATCATTACCATGCCGCCCGCTCCGTGCAGCACTGTAGCAGTATGGAGTGGTAGGTAGGGATGGGCATGGGCATGGGCATGGGCATGGGCATGGGCATGGGGTGGGCATGGGCATGAGCATGGGCATGGGGTGGGCATGGGCATGGGCATGGGCATGGGCATGGGCTTGGGCATGGGGTGGGCATGGGCATGGGCATGGGCTTGGGCATGGGCATGGGCATGGGCATGGGCATGGGCATGGGCATGGGCATGGGGTGGGCATGGGCATGGGCATGGGCATGGGCATGGGCATGGGCATGGGCATGGGCATGGGGTGGGCATGGGCATGGGCATGGGCTTAGGCATGGGCATGGGCATGGGCATGGGCTTGGGCATGGGATGGATGTGCGTTCCATATTTGAAACGCTTCAGAAAGAAATATCACTATGATTGGCATGAGATGGTATGAGATGGCATGAGATGGCATGAGATGGCATGAGATGGCATGAGACGGCATGAGATGGCATGAGATGGCATGAGATGGCATGAGATGGCATGAGATGGCATGAGACGGCATGAGATGGCATGAGATGGCATGAGATGGCATGAGATGCCCCCACACACCTGGTTCGATGATAAGTGCAGCGGCCATGGCAGCTGGCAGCAGGGTGGCTGACGGACCCCCTGCAGAACCACCTGAAGAAACACCTGATGGAGCACCTGACGGGCCACCTGAGGAGGAGGCTGAGGGGAGGAGGTAGGGCTTCAGCTGCTGGTGAATGTAGGAGTGGTAGTGGTGAGCCAGAGGGGAGGAGTCCCTCTGAGTGTGAAAGACGTCGGTGCAGGAGGAGAAGAAGAGGTGGGGTGTGGTAGGGGAGGAGGAGGAAAGCAACGGAGGCAGGATGACCCGCCATTGGCCTTGGGAGTACTCCACTGTTGGGGGGTCTATGAACACGCCCTTGCCTCCGTACCTGCGGGGTGTGGCAGCACGGAGATGGGAGTGCTGTTATAAGTCGTAATAATATAGTATAGTATAATTTAATTTGCTTTAATTAGAAACCTAACACAGGTGCAAGGGGAGAAAGCCTGAGCATCCATGGCTGCTGACGTGGCAAGCACTCACCATGGCTGCTGACGTGGCAAGCACTCACCATGGCTGCTGCTGGAAGGAGGTATACGGGGAGGGCGACTGGGCGTGCATGGCTGCCAGCGTGTCACCGTGGTACGACCCAGTTAGAGCAATCACCTGATGACACGTGGCATGGAAGGAGGGGATGGTGACACGTGGCTTGAACAGTCAATTCCCAACAACGGGATGGACCTTGCATGACACGTGGTTTCTAAGCCGCTTAAAAGAAATCGAGCTGCTGGTTGTATAACAGCCAGGGCGGTAGTTACTTTCTGTATAACAGCAGTCACCGTTGAGAATTCTAATAAAAGATGGCTCCACTGTAACAGCCAGGGCGGTATGTACTTCTTGTCAGCAATCACCTTGAGATCTGGATGCTGGGAAGCGGTGGGGTTGCTGCCAGCCCCAGCAGCCGCTGAGTCCGCCTCACCCCCGATGCCATTCCGGGCGCAGAAGG